CATCCCTTTCTAAGGAACCATGTCAATCCCATCGACTATGGATCTTCACCAAACTTGGCCCTTATACACATCATGACCAATGTAAATTACTGGCAGGTTTTTTTTTAGGCGGCCAGGGGGGTGGGGATGGTTGACACAGGAAGATGGGAGTTGTAGTCCATCCACCTCCAGAAAACACTTTGAAGTCCATCAATGATAGTTCTGGACTTAACTTGGCACACATAACCATCATGACCATCTCAAAACACTGGTGAGTTTGGCAGGTGTGTGTGTGTGAATTGAAACAGGATGATGGGAGTTGTAGTCCGTCCACATCCAGAGGGCTGTGTGAATCTCATCAACAATGGACCAAACCTGGTACACATACTATCTTAAAATACCGCCAAGGTTTCAAGAGGGATTGAGGGAGAGTGATAGGCACTGTAGTCCACTCATGTGCTAAAGTGTGAATTCATAAAATCCAAAACCAAACAATGGCAGTTCTTTGGCAGGAAGAAGGAGCTGAAGTGCTGCTTAAAACAAAATGATTTCGTAAATGGTCGTGAATACGTTTAAATCATTTGAAGCCAATACCGTGTGCGTTTGAAATGAAATATAATGCCTTATTTTTCTTATATTTTGAATTAGAGTTTATTGTGCTGTAGCTTTTGGTGCTGTGATTCAGGCAATAAAGAGCCTAGTTCCTGTGTTTCTCCTGAGAGTTCGTGTTCTGGTACGGCTGTTGAGTGTTGTGTGTATTTGTTGAGTGTTGTGTATTTTTTAAAATTCTGTGCATTTGCAGTTAGATGGCTTTCCTTACTTTGCAGTTATTGAGTTAATGACCTGTCAATTATCATTAGGTTCCCTAGTTCTGCCCCCTTTTTGGGTTCGATTTATGAGAATTAACTTGTAGTTTTGAAGTTTTGTATTCAAAGGCATACAGCACCCTCTTGTGGTTGTAAATTCTATCTCTCTGATTAGTTAAACCAATGGTATCTAACCATGGGCCCTCCAAATGTTGTACACATCACTATCCAAGACAGCTAGGAATTCTGGGAATTGATGTTCAAAATATCTGGAGAACCAAGGGTTGTTGAATCACTGAGTTAAATGTTGATAATATGGATTTGGTCAAATATGATTTAGTCAAACAGAGTGACCTGGCCAAAACCAAGCTGCGGGTTTCAATGGCTGAGCGGGGATTCAAACCTTGATCTTCCAGTAGTTAGAGCATCCCTTATCTGGAATCTCAAAGTGCTCTAAAATCCAAAATTGTCTGCATTCGTGGGTGAGATAGTGATGCCTTTGCTTTGTGATGGCACAGTGTACACAAACTTTGTTTCATGCCCATAATTACTTTAAATATTGTATAATTGGACCTACAGGAAATGTGTATAAGGTACATATGAAGCATAAATAATTTTCATGTTCAGACTTGGGTTCAGGATATCACATTATGTACCTACATACAAATACATACAAATCCCAAACACTTCTGGTTCTAAGCATAATAGGTAAGGCATACTCTGTGCCTGTATGTGTGTATATCCAACAAAATCTGTTTAAGTAATGCGTAATTAATCATGACCTGCCTACCTTCGTGACCGTATCTCTCTCCATGAACCATCTCAGGCCCTCCGTTCTTCTGGGGAGGCCCTTCTTTCGCCCCCGCCAGTCTCCCAGACACGCTTGGTGAGTACAAGGGAGAGAGCCTTTTCCTCTGTGGCCCCCCGACTCTGGAACTCACTCCCTGGAGAGATTAGAAAAGCCCCTACCCTAGAAACCTTTAAAAAGAACCTCAAAACCTGGCTCTTCCGCTGAGCATTTGATGAGTAGATCTACATCCTCATACTAGTGTTTAGTTTAACGGTTTTTGTTATTGGAGTGCATTCCCCCCATAGGAAAGTTTTGCTCCATGACCTCCACTAAAACGAGCTCTCCTCCGCAAATAATCTGTCCTTGTTTATCTAGTGTTTATCTCGCCTGAGTTTTTAATCTGTTTCTACCCAATTTTCTTTTATCCATTACATGTAGCTCGCCCATGTTATCGTGATTGTGCTTATTGTAATTTTATATCGCTATGTTGTCTTTTGTTTTACGTAATTGCGTTATTGTTTATTATTTGCGTTTTCGGTTTTGTTTTATTTCATGTAATTGTTGTTGGCTTCATGTAAGCTGCACCGAGTCCCCATTGGGGAGATGGAGCGGGGTACAAATAAAGTTGTTTATTATTATTATTATTATTATTATTATTATTATTATTATTTAAAACAATAAAAATGTGAAATCTCATCAAACTGCTGAATAATGTAGAAGCTAAAGTCAAACCATGTATTCATGCAGTTTAGGCATAAATTATTGGGACCCAAAGAAGAGCCCCTGCAGCAGATCTCTATCCTAGATCAGGTGGATATAGGATCTTATCTTATGAGCATCTTATGGGCTTTTTTTCTTTCCATAAAATACACAAGAAATGTCTCCCTCCTGTGCTCTGGGACAAAGTACCACATCTGTAGTTTGGATATTTCTTGACAGATGGCTCCTAGTATCTAATCAGAAAGCATAGTGGAATAATTTCCTTCCCCCTTCCTTAACAATGATAAGTCATCTCATTAGGGCCTCCAGAAGCCATTCTAGCATGTTGGAATGTAGAGGACATACCAAAAATTAGAATTCGATCTAATCTTCTTAACAGCAGCTAAACTGCAAATAGCAGTTGGATGGAAAAACAAGACTCTGCCATTGGGATGGTTTGATGTTACACAGAGATTTGTTTGTTTGATTATGGACAATGTTTAAACACAAATTAATGAAGCACCACCCATCATTTTTGGATAATCTAGCAAAATGTTTTCATTTATTTCTGGTTTTCTGGAAACCATGAAAATGAACAAAATCTGGCTACCAGTATTAAAAAAAACTCTAAAATTACAACAGCACAACAACAGAGAGGAAACAAACAAGGACATCTAATCACCTCTCAACAAAAGTTTGCTCTAGGCACTGTAAGGCCATTATATGCTAATCAAGGTGGTCAGTTGAAACATTCATACCTAGCTCCAGCAGACAAGAGTCCTTTGTCTCACCCTGGTTATTCCACAGATATATAAACCCTTTTTCCTAGTTCCAACAGACCTCACTACCCCTGAGGATGCTTGCCATAGATGCAGGTGAAACGTCAGGAGAGAATGCCTCTAGATCATGGCCATATAGCCCGAAAAACCTTACAACAACCCAGTGATTCCGGCCATAAAAACCTTTGACAATACATTGAAATAAACTTTATTCCAGTGGAGTTCGATATGAAATTTAGAATAATAATAACAATAACAATAATAACACTTTATTTATATACCACCCCTCCCCCAGAGGGGAGTCAGAGCGGATTACGCATATAAACAAATACAGGCAAATATTCAATGCCTTGTTACAAATAAAACAATGACACACTAATTCACAAAGGCAAATGCTTCTCCTTTCATTTCCGGCTCTGAAGGGGGTGCTCATCTCCAGCTCTGGGAGAGGTGCTTATCTCCATTTCCAAGCTGAGGAGTCTGTGTTGTCTGTAGACACCTCCTGGTTGTGTGGCTGGCATGACTGCATGGAGTGTCTTATTGCCTTTCCTGCTAGGTTGGCAGGAACTAGGGCTAATAGTGGGAGCTCACCCTGTCCCATGTATTCAAACTGCCAACCTTCAGATCAGCAGTTCAGCAGCACAAGGGTTGCACAGATCATGATGATAAGGTTTGGTATTAATGTTCAGAGTGCAGACTCATGTGATGGGGCTTATGGAAGAAACAGGAGTATTTACTCTTCTCTGTTACATATTGTCTCAGGCCCATCCAAGGTAAGAAGGTAGCTAAGTAGAAATTGTTATGTCTATGTGCACATCTACACTGATGACTTAGGTCATTTTGGAACTGGTTTGGGAGAAACTGGTTTCACTGTCCATATTATTAGACTACAGCTCAGGAACATCAAGGGGAAGAAAGAAGAGGTAGGTCTCACCTGTGATGGCACTTCAGTGCTGGCATGCTGGGAACACAAGGGAAAGAGACCCAACATATAAGGTTGATGACAAAAATGTTACAGGATTGGCAGCTATTTAGAGACTTTCCTGTGAATAGCAGGGGACAGGTTAATCACAGAAAAGAGACAGGCTGGCAGTGGCATAACATGGTGTTGTGTGATTGGGATCATCGCCTGGCTTCAATGTCAGTTTGCCTTCCTTGAGTGATAAAGTTCCATATTATTTTCTCTCCTTAAAACTGTATCAATTTGGATAAAATTAGAAAGTAGTTTTCTGAAGGCACTAGGCTTGAAAGGGAGAGCTGCAGGGTTGTTCAATGGGAGTGGGGAAATCACACCCTTCCTCACCCCACTGGGAGAAAGAACTTGGGAACTTGATGTCAACCACAACTATATAACGGCTGAAGCTTTTGGCAGCATCGTGATCTGCTGCAGGAAATAGTGAAGCTGGCACAGGATTGGATTCCCACCTTCAAAATCCCATGTGGCCTGTATACAGGCATGTAGCCGGGCGGGGGGGGGGGGGGGCTTGAGGGACTTCAGCCTCCCCTTCCCCAAATTCTCATGGTGGTCCGCAAGTAGGCCTTACTGGTAGATTATTTAAACTGTTATGCTTATTCATATCATGATCTGATCACCATGCTCAATATATCCCATATGCATGGGGGTATTGGGTAACGATACAAAAGGTTTGCTAGGGTAGACCCTCTTTCACTCAGACTCAGCCCCCCCCCCCCCCCCCGGAATCAAACTCAGTCCCCCCCCCCCCGTCCGAATCAAAATCCTGGCTATGGGCCTGCCTGCATGTATTCACGAATCTCTAAATTAACACTGAATATAACTCTGAATATAAAGACCAGTCTCTGAATTAACACTTTCAGACATCTTTCCAAGCCAAATCCAGCACGCCATTGCATGGCGAAGCTTCATTCTCCATGGTACTGCCTGCAGACAGGCTGCATTTTCATTTTTCATTTCAAAGTTAAAAAAAAAAAAAACCTTGCACACCAAAAATAGGGTATTCTGTATGTGATGGTGAATGTTTGTTCAACCCCCGCAGGTTCAGATCACAGCTAGCACATATTGCTCATCTGTAAACTACAGACTCAGACCTGTGTTGATGGGTGGATCCCACTCAATGCGTACAAATCTAGCTTGCTAATTGTACCTTTTACACTTTTTCAACAGACAATGGTTCTTTTCTCTCATCCTGGACATTCCACAGATATAAATATTCCACTTGCTTGACCACCATCAGATCCTCTGAAAATTCATCCACCAATGTAGGTGAAACGTCAGGAGAAAATGCTGCTAGAACTCAGCCGGAAACCACACAGTAGCCAAGACCCAGACCATTAATATTTGATTATAAACACAGTGTGATAACACTTTCAGCTTTTCTTTGTCAGGACATTTATTAAGTAAATTCCTGCCTTTAATTATCTTTCTAATTTTCTCTTTTTTCAACAGTGAAACAATTAATTCCATAGTTTGTTTGTAAAATGAAGACTGGCTTCCTGTTTAAAGCTGTCAACAAAATCATGATTCATATAAAGCTGGAGTAGAAAACAGGACACTTCTTCTTGTAATACAAAAGGACTTCTTGTAGTTTATCAGAAGCAACTCTCCCTAGCATCAGATGCCCTGGTGTAATCCTTACATGACCTTTTTTGCAGAGGCCCATGTTCCTTGCATATATTGATTAGGGGACAGATTTATTCTACGGATATTAAGCTCTGTTGCAAAGGCTCTTGCCTTCTGATAGAAGAAGAGAGACATCTCCCGGTCCACAAGGAAGTTGTGGAAAATTATGGCAAGCCTGGTGTAGATTTTCAGCTGAGCTTTCTTGTTGCCTAAGTCCATGGCAGCTGCAAGGGCTAAATTATAGTATCCAGCAGCATCAAAGGGGTCCTGAAAGAAGCGAAGGAAGATATGAACCATCAAAAAATAATCTATGGTATGTGTTAAAGAATACCTAAAATGAGGAATCACTTTAAAATACTAAGCTAAAAGAGAGCAAAAGCATTGAAAACACAGTAATGATGATGATGATGATGATGATGATGATGATGATAATAATAATAATAATAATAATAATAATAATAATAATAACAACTACATTTTATTTGTACCCCGCTACCATCTCCCCAAGGGACTCGGTGCGGCTTACATGAGGCTGAGCCCAAATAAAACAATACAAGCAATAATAACAACAATACAAGCAATTAAAATAAAAAAAACATAGACTATAAAATATGCAACAATTAACAATAAGACAACACACAATTAAAACAGTGGGAAGGCCAAATGTAAAGTTAAAATTGGAAATGATGCTGGGACATGGGCGAAAAAGTGAAAGTGGCATTTGTGGAAAACGTACAAGCAAACCTAATATGTAAAGTGCTTCGGAGGACAAAGTGCTATGGGATCATTATTCTGGGAAGGCACACTGGAACAACCACGTCTCCAAACTCGTCCTAAAGACTGCCAAAGTTGGGGCCTGCCTGATGTCCTTAGGGAGTGAGTTCCAGAGTCGAGGGGCCACCACTGAAAAGGCCCTCTCTCTCGTCCCCACCAATCGTGCCTGCGATGCAGGTGGGATCGAGAGCAGGCCCTCTCCTGATGATCAAAGAGATCGTGTGGGTTCGTATACAGAGATGCGGTTACGCAGGTAGGTGGGTCCCAAACCATTCAGGGCTTTGTAGGTAAGAACCTGCACCTTGAATTGGGTCCGGAAAATGAATGGCAACCAGTGGAGCTCCTTGAACAGGAGGGTTGACCGCTCCCTGTAAGGAGCCCCAGTTAACAACCTGGCTGCCACCCATTGGACCATCTGGAATTTCTGAGAGGTTTTCAAGGGCAGCCCCACGTAGAGTGCATTGCAGTAATCCAGTCTAGAGGTGACTAAGGCGTGGACCACCTTGGTAAAATGACAGCACTGTTAAAAGACCTTTCTGCACCACCCAATGTTTGTTTTGCTGTCTGTGCCCCTTTTCAGAAGATTTTACCTCATTTTCTGTCCTTGTAACAATTGGATTTTGAAAATTTTGGGTTGTTGTTCAAACAAGGATTTGTGATAAAGTTTCAGTGGAGACACTTTCCCCCTCATAATAACTCTTACAAGAGTAAATTCCCTTCCTAGAGGTAGACTTCCTCTCACTTCCTGTTGTCTCACTCCCGTTTGTAACTAGGAATCAAATGGAAGTCAGATGTTTGTAACTCAGGGACTGCCTGTAATACCGTATTACACTAATCCAAACAAGATATATTTAAGACACAAGCCATCTTCAGGTAGGAGTGTCTCTGGGAACTACTTTTAACTGTGAATTAGTTTCACAGTCACCTCCAAATCCACACTCAAGGTCAAGTCTAGGAATACATCCAAAATAAACCTGACATTTCAGTATGCTTGTGTGTGCACTTGTATAAGCCTGTCCAGAACAACTGAATTCTCTGGATGGCATTTTGACTGACCAGGATCATCTCTATCTAGTTGGGATTAAACTTGAATTTGTACACCATCATCCAGTCCCATACCAACCACAGACACAAGTTTGGTCAAGACAGGAAAGGGATTTTAGATGCTTTAAGCTTTATATATCTCTAAAAAGTGGTCCTGTGAACATAATGGTAAGCATTTCCTGTTTATTCTTTAAATGTTTACTGTAGCAAATAGTCAATATATGTTGAATACTCCATTGTATGAAATATGTGTTAAACTCAACAATACAATATTATATTTTGATCAACCCAAACCAAAAACATGTCTTTTGTTATGCCTTTATCATAACTTTTCCTTCCACAACTCCAAACAATACCCTCTACCAGCTCTTGACAACAGATATTTAAGTTGATCAACATGCAGCTTTCTCCCTTGAAATAATAATAATAATAATAATAATAATAATAATAATAATAATAATATGTATTTATACCCCGCCACCATCTCCCCAAGGGGACTCGGGGTGGCTTACATGAGGCCAAGCCAAACAACACATCAGTAAAAACAAAACAGCAAGCAAATAAAACAGTACAATTAATATAACTCACATATAAACAATAACACAGAGAATTTAAAACCTTATGGCCGGGCCAGATGTAATAAATTAAAATTTTTTAAATAAACACTGGGCGTGAACAGAGGTAGGATGTATCTAAGCAGGAGGATTTTAAAAGATAATGTAGGTAGACCAACCCAACGGATAGTAAAGTGCTTCTGAGGACAGCTGCAGAGAATTAATCAGAGCAGGGCATTGTTTCCTTATTCAGGAAAGGCACACTGGAACAGCCACGTTTTCAGGCTCCTCCTAAAGACTGCCAATGTGGGACTTCTCTGATACCCTTGGGAGTGAGTTCCAGAGTCAGGGGGCCACCACAGAGAAGGCCCTCTCCCTCGTCCCCACCAATCGCACCTGCGAAGGGGGCGGGAGCGAGAGCAGGGCCTCTCCAGATGATCGAAGAGATCGTGTGGGTTCGTACACAGAAATGCAGTCACGCAGGTAGGCGGGTCCCAAACCATTCAGGGCTTTGTAGGTAAGAACATGCACCTTGAATTGGGACCGGTAAATGAACGGCAGCCAATGGAGTTGCTTAAACAGGGGGGTTGACCACTCCCTGTAAGTCACTCCAGTTAGTAACCTGGCTGCCACCCGTTGTACCAATTGAAATTTCCGAGCTGTCTTCAAGGGCAGCCCCACGTAGAGTGCATTACAGTAATCCAATCTGCAGGTGACTTAAGGTGAAATATCAGCTCTTCCCCCTTTCTCATCTTAGCATGCAAAATAAAGACACTCTGCACATTAGAAAACTTAAAAACAACCCATTATTTAAATCAAATGGGAAGTCATTTATTTGAGTAGCATGCTTATAAAATCTATGTCACCCTTCATATGTACACATTCTCAATCCAGAAAACTCTTCCACATTCAGATATTGGTTTCCTCCATTTTACCTTTAAGTCACTGAATGTAATATCTCCAAGAGCAAGGTACACTTTTACATAGTACATGGCTTCCTCATCAAACTGAAGAGGCGAAGGGCACAGTGACAAGGCTTTTAAGAAGAAGTGTTCTGTAAGTTCGCACTGCCCTAGATGACGATAGATAACGGCCAGCCGGTGATATGCCAGTCTTTCACTTAAATGATTTCCTAATGAGGTAAGCAAAAGATTAGCATGGGATTTCAAGAAAGAAAAATATAAATTACAGTACTCTTTATCAAGTCATCTATTAACTTAGGACAGATTTGTGCTTAGATGTCCATCATTACAATGTGCGAATCCCTATTGCAGCTAGAACTGTAAGATGTCCTCAACACACATATATTTAACATTTGCATATTCAGATAATATACATTTCAATACAAATATCTGCATACATCTGCAAAGAAAGGAGAGCACTAAATGGAATTGCAGGACCACTTAAGGGGTGCTTTGTTTAGTTTAATTTAAGATACTCTTCTCCATTGCACAACAGAATTGTTTAAGGAAATATTTAAGAATTATTTAAGGAAAAGTTATCTTCCAAGAAAACATGCTGAACAGCTATAGTACATTTCCAGTCAATGCTGTGCACATGTGGAGTATGTGACTCACATAGCCCACAAAGAAGTTTTCATTTCCATTTTTGATTTCCCACAGTTCACCACAGCATTGAGCTCTCCGAAGCTCTAGGTGCCCTTACCGCCTACCACAGGGAAAACCAGCTGATCCCTAATCCATCCACAATACAGACATGTGCCTTTCACCTTAAGAACAGACAAGCATCCCGAGCTCTGAGGATTACCTGGGAAGGAATCCCACTGGAACATTGCAGTGCACCCAAATACCTGGGAGTCACCCTGGACCGTGCTCTGACCTACAAGAAGCACTGCCTGAATATCAAGCAAAAATTGGGTGCGAGAAACAATATCATACGAAAGCTGAATGGCACAACCTGGGGATCACAACCAGACACAGTGAAGACATCTGCCCTTGCGCTATGCTACTCTGCTGCTGAGTATGCATGCCCAGTGTAGAACACATCTCACCACGCTAAAACAGTAGATGTGGCTCTTAATGAGACATGCCGCATCATCACGGGATGTCTGCGCCCTACACCACTGGAGAAATTAGACTGTTTAGCCAGTATTGCACCACCTGACATCCGCCGGGAAGTAGCAACCAATAGTGAAAGGACCAAGGCAGTGACATCTTCAGCTCATCATTTGTTTGGGTATCAGCCAGCACATCAACAACTTAAATCAAGAAATAGTTTTCTAAGATCTACAGAAACACTCGCTGGAACACCTCAGCAAGCCAGAGTCCAAAAGTGGCAGGCTCAAACCCAGAACCTCAACCAATGGCTGATACCAAATGAGAGACTCCCCCTGGGCACACAGAAGACTGGGCGACTTGGAAGGCACTGAACAGACTGCGCTCTGGCACCACGAGATGCAGAGCCAACCTTAAGAAATGGGGCTACAAAGTGGAATCCACAACATGTGAATGTGGAGAAGAGCAGACCACTGAGCACCTGCTGCAATGCAACATGAGCCCTGCTACATGCACCATGGAGGACCTCCTTGTGGCAACACCAGAGGCACTCCAAGTGGGCAGACACTGGTCAAAAGACATTTAATCAACTACCAGGCTTGCAAACTTTGTGTTTTGTCTGTCTGTCTGTCTGTCTGTTTGTTTTGTTCTGTTAGAAATGTAATACAATTGTCTGGTTGCCCCAGACATGATAAATAAATAAATAAATAAATAAATAAATAAATAAATAAATAAATAAATAAATATCATAGCATTGAATGAAACAGGCAGAATAATCACAGGGTGACTTAAACCTACACCTGTTGATAAGCTCTACAAGCTAGCTGGCATTGCCCTCCCGATGTGCGATGGGAAGTTGCTGCGAAATGCTAGAGAAATAAAGTTGAGCACTGTGAATGCCATCCACTACATGGCTACCAGCCTCCTCCCAGTAGACTCAAATCAAGGAAAAGCTTTATGAGAACTACCACTCCTCTTGGCGTCCCCCCAGCAAGAGCAAGGATATCCCTCTGGGCAGCTAGACCAGGAAATCCCAGCTGGATGGCTCCCCACGAGGGTCTTCCTCCAGGGGCAAACCAAGAATGTGCAATTTGGAAGTCCCTGAACAGACTCAGAAGAGGAGCGAGCAGATCAAAAGACAAACTGGAAAAATGGCACTACCTAAAAGAATCCCACACCTTGTGTGACTGTGGAGCAGAACAGACAACTCCGCAGCTGTATGCTTGTCCACTATGCTCTACCTCATGTACAGAGGAAGAATTGTTGGAGGCTACAGACAATGCCATTGCTGTTGCCCGTTTTTGGTCAAAAGATATTTAACCACCTGCACTCCTATTTTTATTGGTTTTATACTAATTTATGCAATGCTTTTGATATGAAATAAATAATCATGTCTTCTGAACATGACAAATCTTAACCATGGTTTGTTAAATAAAAGCCTCTTCAAATGACGTGTTACCATAGCAACGATGTCTCAGATTGTGGCATAATGATAAACTACAATGATATAAAACCTTTGTAGAACACATGCCTCTACCATTGAGGAAAAGAAACAAGTTCACAGGAATCCAAAACTTACTTGTGTCAGGATAAATTTAAGTTTACTGGGTTATCAAAATGCAGCAATTAAGCTAAGATGTCAAGCTTTAAGATATAAGAAATCTATGTATGTCTGAGCCATCTTCAAGTTACTTTTAAGTCTGCTAAATTGATTTCCTTATATATTTTCTTTACCTAAATGGACACTGAGCATTAATGATGCCCGTGCATATTCCAGACACTCCTCATACGCCTGTAGGTTTAAAAGCAATTCCACCAATTTGTTGACCAGCCGAAGTTCAGCATTGCTATTGTTTGTCTTAATCGCAAGTGGCAAAGCCTTGTCCTAAAATGAGTGCAAATAAAAAGACAATTTATTATGAAAAGTATTTTTACAAAGGAAGCTCATGTATCATTATTCCACATAATAAATGAGCTGACATTCATTCTGTATAGGTATTACCAACTCAAGTGTCATTGAAATCAATGTGTTTGGGAAATGGGGAGGATGAACAGGAAGCATACAGGAGTAAGGCAAAGAAGGAGAGGCAAACATGAATGTTTCTGCAAGAGTGTTTTGCAGGGGAGCTAGAGAAGCTCATGGTTGAAATATAGTAATAAAGAAGTATGACCTATTTCTGACAAATATACTAAAGAAGGAAGGAGGAATAGCAGCATTCAGGCCCGTAGCCAGGATTTCGTTTCGGGGGGGGGGGGGGGGGGGGGGGGGGTGGTGGGGCTGAATTTTTTTCAGGGGGTTTTGGGGGGCGGAGTTTCGGGGGGGGGGCTGAGTCTGAGTGAAAGAGGGTCTAGCCTAGCAAACCTTTTGTATCATATTTCCCAATACCCCCATGCATATGGGATATATTGAGTATGGTGATCAGATCATGATATGAATAAACATAACAGTTTAAATAATGCACCAGTAAGGCCTTTTCGCGAACCACCATGAGAATTTCGGGGGGGGGTGGGCTGAAGCCCCCCGAGCCCCCCCCCCCCCCCCAGCTACATGCCTGCAGCATTATATACCAAGGATGTTTACATCCATGAGGAGATTCATGATGTAAACCCTTGGAATATCTGGGCAAAAAGTTAAGGAGGAAACAAACAACAGGGGCATCATTATTAGGGGGCAGGGAGAGAGTCAAAGCTAAATTGAGGACTTGGATAATGCCTTCCTGGAAAAGATGACCACAAATTCAGATGAGAGATTTCAACTATCTTGATATCTGCTGGAAGACAAACTCTGCCAAGAATATCAAGTCCAACAAATTCTTCACTTCTTTCAGATTTCATGCTCCAGAAGGTGGATGTTATAGTTCAGCCTGTGATTGTGTCTGATTTCAATGGGGATGATGGTTTTCCTGGGCCTGAGCTTTCAAGTCCTGGCCTTGCTAAAAGGCCTGAGGTTTCACTGCTTGAAAATGAATGGAGTGCTTCTCCTGTAGATTCTGAAGGTCAAATTCCAGAAAGGGGCTCACGGCAGCCTTTCTCTGGAGAACTGTCTTCTGAGGATGAATTGTCAGGTGCAGAAGTTAATGAGATAGACGACAGAAGGCAAGACTGGGTTGTTGTAGGTTTTTTCGGGCTATATGGCCATGTTCTAGAGGCATTCTCTCCTGACGTTTCGCATGCATCTATGGCAAGCATCCTCAGGGGTAGTGAAGACTTTTGTAAACTAAGAGAGAGTTTCCAAGCTTGCTGAAGGTCAACCCGTTTATTAGAAAAGAGAGAAAAGAAGTCCTTATCTGGTTGAAAAGGTAAACGGAATGTTTTCATTTCATTTCATGAGACAAGAAATGCTTTATATGAGACGAGGAAAGGATTTTAGATCAGTTTGAGTAACAGTTTTATGAACATCTTTTTTCTAAGTGGATTTCTAATTGCCTGTTTCAGGTTCTGCAAGGTTCTTGTTCTGTGCATTCGATTTCCATGCTGTCTTGTTTTTTTGAATTGTGCATCCTTGGAACTTATGTTTTTACCTTTGTACCTTGAAGTTCATGGACTATGTGTTATCTTTGGATTATACTGTTTTGGACTAGACTGGTTTTACCATTTTTAATGCTTTGCTTACATTTATCCTTCAATAAACTGCTTGCTGATTTTACTGAACTGATGTGGTGATTAAGTACAGAGGTGTTTCTGCTCTAGGATACAACAGTGGAAGAGACAACAAGGGGATCAGCTATCCTAACCTACAGTGCCAAGCTGGTTAATGGAGTGGAAGGGATGGGATGAAATAGAAAGTTTATCAGATTTGCGGATGACACCATACCGGGCAAGATAGCTAATATCCCATAGGACAGGATCAGACTCTAAAATGACCTTAACAGATTAGAAAGCTGAACCAAAACTAACAAAATGAATTTCAAGAGGGAAAAATGTAAGGTACTAAATTTAGGCAGAAAAACGAAATGCATGGATATAAGATAGGCGACATCTGGCTTGACAACATGTGAAAAGGGATTTAGGAAGCTTAGTAGATTCAAAAGTGAACATGAGTCAATAGTGGAGTCAACTCAGGAGTGTTTTGATTGTGTGTTCCTGAATGGCAAGGGGTTGGATTGTGGTCTCTTCCAAATCTATGGTTCTATGAACAGTTACAAAAAACAAGAAAATAATGCCAACCTTGTAGAAAGCTATTGCTTTTTCTCTTTCCCAGTCTCCATTAAAGAAAATGTCTCCTGAAGCTTCAAATAATTTCATTTCTAAATTAGGATCCTGAATACATATAGCGGCATTTTGGGCAGCCTAGAAAAAGAGAGATACATTCTGTAATATTGGTCAAGAAAAATAAAAATAGCAATCCTCTGACTCCTGATGCTGAAAATACAAATGGTTTACAAGCACACCTGGACAGAAGTGCAAAGCTTCGCAAAATCCTGAAAATGTCTCAAGGCAATAAGTGGTTATTTCTTACATAAATAAAAATAATTACACAAATTGTTCTCCCCATCCAGTTCTAACCATAGTAATATGTTTCAGATAAACATGGACAGATGCAACATTGCATTACTGAAATGGAATAGCTGAAGTATTATATTCAATGTATAAGCATAGGATTCCCCATTAACCATTTTTCCCATTTCATTTTATCCTATCACACTTTCAGTTCCCAACCAATGATGACTCTTACCTGGATATAAAGATCTACTAGCTCATTCTGCCTCAATATATAATATATCTTTCCTGCTTGGAGCCAAGCCTGAGCCTCCCTCTCTTTTGCCTGAAGATCAATAAAGATGCCAAGGCTTCTTTTGGTATATTCGAGGGCAGATCTATATGCTCTAAAGGAAATCACAGATAGCATGTTTAAAAAGGAAACAGCATACCCAAATCAACTGATACTGTATTTTTCTTTTGGAAAAGAAAGACAATTTTCAGATATTACAACTTGTGTTGTCCCCTAGCACACACTGCTGAGTCTTGTAATGGATCGTTGATACTTGGATTATATTGTCCGGCAGATCATAGCTAAAGTAAAAAAGAAAACTGAACAAAATCAGAAAAATATGAAAATGACGGCAGCTCTTTGATCAATGATGAAACCTCCCAACAAATTAGAATACCTAAAATCAACATAGAACAGGAAGCCAGAGCTGGAAGTGTGGTGCTGGCCACTTTTATGGCTATGCCTCCGTGCCACTAAGGAACGAACAGGAATTTTATTGAGTATGAGCAAATCTTTTTAGCATGAGCATAATCTGATAGAGGCGATTTCTGTCCACGCCCAGAAGGTTGCATATGCCTGACTGAGAGAGGAAATGAATCTTAAAATGATAATTCGATTGCTCTTTAGGAAAGGTTGGGAGATAGAAACAGCCTTGATTAGTTTTGGGATGAGCTCTGTTGAGAGAAAGCAAGGAACAGTTTGATGCAATTGATTATCACTTAGGCTTCTCAACAGTGTCTTCCTAGTTCAAATCCTGGGGTTTTAAGATAGGATAGCATACACATAAGAAAAGTGAAAATATGTATGTGTGTGTGGTTGGGGTGTCCACTTACACAGACAAGCTCCTGTCTCCACAAACAGCTATAGCTTCCACTACTCAGGAGACACCAATGGTCCTCCCTCCGATAACATCGCAGGTTATAGAGAGCACCATGAACATGTCCAAGAGCCCTGCCAATGTCCTCCACAAACACAATACTGCCCACCACCCAAGTGAAGGCTTTCATATGGAGACAAATTTATCCTTGAGTTTACGTGTTTCCTCCGTCATAGACATCCCAGTGTTTCTTACTCTCTCCATTGGTGTGGAATTTGCATGATCCCGCCCACTGCCTCTCCCTTAACCTTTTCCTAACAGAGAAATTGATCAGCAACTGAATGTACTAGAGAGATTTGGGGAGAATTCAGCATGATTTATAGGAGTTGTAGGTACTGGGATGTATAGTTCACCTCCAATCTAAGAGCACTCTGAACTCAACCAATGACCTGGAAATAACTTGGCACACAGAACTTCCATGACCAATAAAAAATACTGGAGGTCTTTGGAGGGATTGATAAGAGTTGTAGTTTCTCTATATCCAGAGCACACTGTGAATCCAAACAATGTCGGATCTGGACCAAACTTGGCATGCATACCCGATATGCCCAAATTTGAATACTGGCGGCTTTTGAGGGGAATTGGACTGGACATGTTGGAACTGTAGGTACTGGGATTTATAGTACACCTGCAATCAATGAGTACTCTGAACACCAACAAAATAGAATTGGACCAAACCTGGCACACAGAGCCCTCATGACCAGCAAAAAATACTTGACTTTTGGGGGGAAATTCGCCTTGATTTGGGAGAGTTGTAGTTCACTTACATCCAGAGAGCACTATGAACCCAAACACCAATGAGTCTGGACCAAACTTGGCACACATTCCTGATATGCTGAAATTTGATTACTAGAGGAGTTTGGGGAAAACTGACTTTCCTTTTTGGGGAGTTGTAGTTCACCCACAACCAGAGAAACTGTGACCTCTCCCGATGATGGACCTGGACCAAACTTGGCACACAGAATCCCATGATTAACCCAACCTACTGGAGGGGTTTGATGGGACTGACTCCCCATAGTGGGAGTGGGAATTTACCCTGCAGCCAGAGAGCACACTGAACCCCACAAATGATGAATCTAGAGCAAACTTGCCCAACATAACAAACTTTAAGTACTGCTGGAGTTTTTCGGGGTTAACCTGGCATGATGTGAGTTGTAGTTCACCCACAACCTTATGCATTTTGTATAGTTAAAAAGTTGACTTTTCCAAATAACCCGGGTAATGCTGGGTATTCAAGTCAGTGTTATGTATTTGTTGATTTCCAAAAAGGGCCTTGTGTTATTGTATTTCAGTCTGTTGGACTGTGAAAATACCATCTTGTGCCTTGTCAACATTTACATGATGCTTTTGGGAGCAGTATGGAGATTTAGAGATCATTGTGCTATTAAAAGCACTTTGCAAACAAAACATATTGTTATCCAAGTTGTTTTCCAAGCATGATAGTTTGAGAAGCTGAGATATGCAGTGTTGTTTATTGTACCTGCAGAACCCTGGAAAAGGTCTGTTGGGTCCAGAAGTGGGAGTTTTTCTTAAAATACATTTTAATGAATTGATTAGGGATATTAAACCAATGAATTTGAGATGATATGTGATAAGAATATAGTCGTCATTTGGACAGCACACTTCTCCAGTGTTTGCTTTGTAAGTCTCACAGAAACATAGTACAATGGGAAAATTACATTCGAAATGTGCATACATTGGGGCCTTGCTGATCTGTCATTTCAACTGACAGCAAATCACTTTAGCCCATACTTAAAATGGTGGTAATATGAACATGGAAGCACTAATGTGGATGTGTGTATCATTGCAATGTAATAATATGGGGTGCAGCTATCTACATTTTTTGTCATCCACAAGGGCTCCTGGAACTGAAGTTTTGTGAATTCAGAGGGAATACTGTACTGGGAAAAATAGTTTTCAAACTTACATTATAGAAAATCATAGGGTGGGGGGAGAGTCTGGAGATATCTGTGATTCACCCATCCTTATAAAGTTTACGTGTGTATATTTGTGTTTAGCTTACCTTACTATGCATATGTACACATTTATTATTAGATTACTTGCCTTATAATTTGTTTTTGCTATGCACAGCTTATTGTCTGATATTTGTTAAAAAATAATTGTTTTTAATCCTTTGTGATACTCTTTTGGTACATTTTTACATCTTTTAAGCCTACCATTTAGCTTCATTTAATACCACTGGGATGTTGTCATAAAATGGGAATTATTCTCCAGCTTCATTTCAAACTAAAAAGTAATTTGTGGGTTTTTAAACCATACCTGTTATTTGATAGATTTAGTTAGGCACCAAATACGATTTTCTTTAGGTACTGTCTATCCCCACCCATACATAAAGAAAATCATAATAAAGCAAATTGTTAAGGAATTGGGAGAATAAAAATAACTTGCCCTTGAGTGATGTTCCAAATTTATTTTTGCAAGAGCTTACATAACAATTTGCATAGTTTGGTTATGGCCAAATTCTATAGCAGTTCTTGCGACTATGTGGAAAAGTTGCCTAAACTCTTGGCAAGCAGAATAATGTCTCTGCATTCGTTTCATTTTTCTTGCCTAAAGGCCTCGTGAATGCACCTTTGGATTTAACCCAGTGAAATAGGAGTAGCAATGTAACGAAATATCATTAAAGTTAAAACAGATCATGTCACAGTATTGCCGGTTCTTACCTTTCTGTGCCTAAAGATAGATATAGCTGACTGATGGTTTCCAATACTTTTCCCTCCATGACTTTGTCAGACATTTTTCTCACCAGGTAGAGTTGATATTCATTGTAAATGACGCACTGAGCTTCATCCGGAAGAATTCTGCCGTAGAACTGGCAGAGGTGCTGAACAGCCATGAGCTGCCCTAAGAAAAATAAACAAGACATTTCCCAATAGACAGAACAAGCTAAGTGTATAGGAACATACTACTACAATGTACAGACATGACTTTGATAGCCCTCAGTTTTCTGAATACTCAAGAAGCTTTATAGCAACCCAGAAATCAATTCCTGCTTTATGCCAGGATCCTAGGATAAAATGGTTATAGATTGTCCATGCTCCAAAAGCCCAATAAGATTATATTTCTGTTCACAGGTTTTTTGTAAACAGACTATCATTTCCAGGCATTTGGTGTGGAAATAGCAACTTTCTTCAAGACTCCTCTAATTATTTGTTACGTCTATAATTCAGATTGCTTACTGTATTGTATATGTGTGTATTAATATGAAGTTTTCCTTAACTATGTAATGGGAGGGACTGCAGACCATGTGATCAGAACTGGGACTATTCAGGACTCAGACTCCATTTTAGAAACAGTACGCTTTAGAAGCCAGTAGAAACACGATACTTTAGAAGTCAGTAGAAACTATCAGACTCTCAGACCAGAGAGATGCTTTATAATGAGGACTGTAAAGATTGTAAGATGTCCTGTGTTATCTACATAGAGAAACTACTTCAAATCCTATCTGTAACTGGGTTGATATGCAATATACCTGTATACTGAATACATGAAGTTTGTGAGTAAACGAACTATGTTATTTTAATGAAGACTACTTTATTTTTGGTGTCTTGAGAGCATGATTTAAACCAAGATGTTTTAAGGGAGAGTAGATGTGTTTGGGCAACTGAAAATAACACTTCTGAAACTCTGCTATATATTTGCTTTTTGTGCATTGGCATATTTTTGTCCCTAAGAGTTAAAAGAGATATCTAGGTATATCAGTCTAACAGTTGAGAAACCTAATCGCCTTGCATGAATGCTAGTGGATATTTACCACTAAGGTGAAGGTTGACTCAAGTGAGTTTTTAACTTTTCTCAGGGAGATTCCTGGAAAATGAATACCATTTTCCAAAAGATTATGGAGATTTCCATTTCCCAAAAGATTATGGCATCATTTCCCCCAAATGTGGACATGTTAGGCCCTCATTCTATTATGTGCAGGAGAATACCTGAACAGGGCTTTTATGTGTATTTTCTACCACTGAGCTACTCCTTCTTATTTTCAACTCCATCTTGCAAAATGAAAGTATGGCTTATCACAAACACAAGCACAATTAATGTTACATACTGAAAGGGAAGGAGAATAATAATATCTTGAAGGTTTTTTGTGTTGTTGTTGTTGTTGTTTTTTTTTTTTTTTTTGCTGTGTCAGGAGCGACTTGAGAGACTGCAAGTCGCTTCTGGTGTGAGAGAATTGGCCGTCTGCAAGGACATTGCCCAGGGGACACCCAGATGATTTGATTTTTTATCATCCTTGTGGGAGGCTTCTCTCATGTCCCTGCATGAGGAGCTGGAGCTGATAGAGGGAGGTCATCCGCCTCTCCACGGGTTTGAACCTGCGACCTGTCGGTCTTCAGTCCTGCCGGCACAGAGGTTTAACCCACTGCGCCACCAGGGGCTCCTCATATCTTGAAGTATAACAGAAGGAGAGATGGGAGTTTGGAAAATGAAATATCCTAATATTTCCCTGTTGCAGGGACCATTTTCTATTTTGGAAGCATCTGCAAATAATGTACATACCTTCCAAAGAGTTTGTTTTCATTGCCACCAAAAACGCCCACTCATAGAAACATCTTCCTTCATTTTTGCAAATTCCATTGGAATAGTAGCATCCCAGCCTTAGGAGGACATCTATAAAATTTCTGCCACACTCAGCACTTGGCAGTTGAGAGAACAGCATTACTGCTTGAATTAAGAAATGCTCCCCAAGATACCTGGCAGACGACTTCAGACAGAGAATCCCCAAATTGGCCAAAGTCACAGCCTGATTACACAAAATCCCCATTTCTCTTGAAATGGTCAGAGCTTTATAGTAGTTTTCAGTTGCTAGCTTTGTATTGTTCATCCGCCTCAAAGCTATGCCGATCATGTTATAAATAACAGCTAGCTGTTGGCAACTGCTTTGTGAAGATTCTACTACGGCATTTAAAATGTCCAAAGCCACCTTATTTTGATGATGAAGAATATATAACCAACTAAGAAAGACTAGATGGTTAATCATTTCTTCAATGCTTGTGTGTGCATTTGTTTCGAGAACCTTTTCCATGTAACCAATTGCTTGTCTGTATTGTTTGTGATGACTGTGTAGTAGAGAGAGATTATAGTAAACCATCTTGCAGAGTTTTTGGTGTTCTTTGCTAACCTCTAGCAAGCAGAGAATCTGAGCAAGATAATAGGCAATCTGGGAAGGAAATGTCTGCCCCACAGTTTTTGAAGTATGGCATTTGGGAGCATTTTTAAATACCAAATCAATGCACCCGAATGACTCTAGTAAAGTACTTGTTGAGCTGCAAGAAGAGGCAACCTTGCAGCAACTTAGCACAAGGTGGGGCAAACACTTTTGACTGTAAAGTTGGCCTAATTTAAAATAACACTCTATTAACAATGAATGCTTTCTCAATCCCAAGTCATTATAGAGAATCTGCAGTCTTTCTAGGAATGGCAGTGCTTCTTCGTCTTGTCTAAATTTCAGATAGTGCCTTGCTACCAGGAAACATGCCTTGGCTTCTGCGTTCTTGCTTTGACACACCACTGCTCTTTTTAAAGCGTACTTCAGAATATCTGACTCCATGTCCGTGCTGCTGATGTAGTTGGGGATTCCCATGAGCAAAGAAGCAACTTTGCCAAAAATGCCGGTGCATTTTTCCTTGTTGTTCTGTTTCAGGTAAATGCCAGTTAGATTTGTATAAAGAGCAATTGTAAGATAGAGGTCACTAAAATCTCCTTGCATCGTCGCCAAAGCCTCCTCAAAATACACCCGAGCTTGAGAAAGTTTGAACTTTCGGGCGCTCATTCTCCCCAGGAGAAAGCACAGCCTTGTCAAGGCCCACAAAAGGTTTGCTCGCTTTGCTGCTTCCCTTGCCAGCACAAAATAGTCAATCAGTTCATCCTCATTGGCATAGCCATAGAATAGGGTGTTGAGAAAGGAAAATGAAAGATTGTATAGGTTCTGGAAGCTGGGATCATAGCCATCACAGTTCAGAAACAGCAGTAATGAATCTGAGATCTCTGGTCCACAAGCACCTTCCTGGTATATGCAGAAACGTAGTTCTTCCATTACAGAAATTATCTCGCCCTTAAAAGCCAAAACAGGCCTCTTCTGAACATCTGATTCTTCCTTGTGCAGCTGTAACTTTTTTACTTCCTTAAGGGATTGAGTCACTTTCTGTTTGAGTGTTGGAGAGTCCAAATTAAGAAAGGAACACGACTTCTCTGAAATACACAAGAAAGAAGAAGGCCTATATGGGAAAAGCATTATAGGAAATTAAAATAGCAAAGGCAAATTAGACAACTAATAAAGACTCAATATTTACTTTCCCATTGGAATAGAAATAGGCAATTTTTTTTCAATCGCTTGAATGTAACCTAGGTCTCTAAGATCGTCTGGGGAGGCCCTGTTCTCAGTCCCACCTCCTTCGCAGATGCTGAAGTCGAGCATGCCCCCCCCCCCCCAACAAGGGATGTTCTGCAAAGGACAAAGGTACCAGACTGCACAATAGGGGTTAAGTCTTGGTCAATTTGCCAAGGCCTTAACAACAATGAGGACTCCATGAAACTTCGGGAATGGCCAGACCTTGGGGTCTCTGCCTCTCTCGAAAGCTGTAGTTTTCCAAGGACCATGGGACCGGCTTCCATCCCAGCACTGCAGAGCTTTGTGTCTTGGCCCAGTGGAACTCCATAGACTCCCTTTGGTGGCTTTTTGAATTCTGCTACATTCCTGGACTTCACTCTCTTCAAGGACTCGCTCTCTACCCATGAACTTTCTTCAAGACATCTTAAGAATTCATGCTGTGTCCTGATATCGTCTGCTTTTTATAATTGGTATTATTAATTTCTCTCTGGGGTCCTGGATGGGAAGATAGCTGCATATGATTTCCCTGTGTATAATTTCTATATGATTTTTATATTTCCTTGTATTCCTGACCCTTTGCCCCTTCTCCCTCCAAAGAAATATGTAAGGGAACCCCCTGGCCTTCAGAAACAAAAGCCATTAGTGGTTACTGAAACCTCCCGCCAAATACACACTTGCATGGATAAAAGAAGGAAATTCTTATCTCTAGCATAGGGAATGGCCCACTAGAGTAAAGAATTGTTTGACAAAAGTTTCTGTAAGATAAGGGGAAATCTTCCCCTCTGCTTTTGTTTACTTAGCATTAACCTCAGGCTGCCATCATTGTTCCCCTGTCTCACAGCCAGGAAGGATCAGGATATTTTTACACATGTTGATTCATAACACTCATGAACACTCAAAGCAGCCCTGTTTGAGCTTTTTGTCTCAGGCCACATGACATTTCCTTTGTTTAAAGACTCCTTTCCCAGATTTCTTTGTGCTCCCTCATCCCGCCTCCATCTCTCCTGATTGGCTGTCACCACCAGGTGGCAGAGGTCTCCCCATTGGATCCTATGGACCATTGGAGCTTCCTGATTGGTCCAGAGGCACTGGGGGCGGGAGGGCCACCTCCCAGCTGTTCGCCCATCGCCCAATCATGGCAGGGAACAACAGGGAAGCCGGGGCGTGGAGTTTGAACTCTGCAACTTTGAATTTGCTATAAATATTACTGTATTGGTGTACTCCCCTCATGCTTAGCTTTGGCGAATTATTGCAGCTCTGCATCCGTTTCAGCTGAATCGCATTAAACCTCGATGGCTTTTCTTCAACTGGTGAGACTTTTCATTGGGAAATCAGGGAAAATATGGGATGCTTCTCTGTCTCGCCAGGGAAAATGAACTCTTTGATGAGTCTAATTGGTCTCTGCCTCCTGGCAAAGACCCTTAAATTTTAGCTCTAGAACAATGCGACTGGCAGGAATGAGAGGCAGGGCCTTCTCAGCGGTGGCCCCTTAGCTATGGAACACCCTCCCTAGGGATATCAGATCAACTCCCTCCCTCCCTCCTAACATTTCGAAAAAGAGTTAAAACCTGGCTCTTTAGGCTAATTTAGATCCATGGAACGATTGGACGATGCAACTGGAAAATTGTTTTAGTAATGAAACACTGAGGATCGGTGTTTTATTGTGTTTTATTGCTTTTATTGTTTTTATATGGTTTATACTATGTGTTAATGTTTTAACTATATTTTATGTTGTTGGGGGCATTGAATTATGCTGCTTGTAAACCACCTTGAGTCGCCTTTGGGCTTAGAAAGGCGGTATATAAATATGGTAAATAAATAAATAAATAACCTACTGAAGGACACATATCGTCAATAAGTGGGATTGAAACCAGGGATTTTATTTTATGAAGAAAACAAATCAACACAGAACCAGGATTATCCTTCTATTGCACAATGATGTACACAGCCTATTGTCAGTCTGCCATCTTCCTGAAAAATCCATCAATCATTCCTGATTCCTGACTACAGTGACACCACTTGCCTGTGCGATATGCTTGATCCACTTCAGCACATAAGTGACATCAAGGAGCAGGATTTTTCACCTCTCCCACTATTCCCCACTCCCTTTTTCAGAAACTAAAGGGTGTTTTTAAAAATCTGTTTAATTGCAGCAATACCAGAATGTGAGATCACAAGGGTGACCATCCTAGTAAGCTGGCAAGATCATTGTTTGTTCATAGTGAAGCTAAGTTCCTCCCTTCCAAGCGAGGGGAAATGAACGGCACAGAGTTTGTAGTTTTTTTCTGCCACAGGGGAGGCAACCCTGAGGCAAAGAGAAAGGAAGAGCAGCAGAAACAAAACTGTGGCACTTCTTTCCTTTAGAAAAGGCCTGCAACTTGCCTGAGGAGAAGTGGGGAAATCAGGAGTATCCCGCATTGTTGTTTGCTTTGAGAGAAAGACATTCTCTCATAAACTTGAAGTGAGATGCTAAACATATATCTGTAGCCAAAGCAGTCTAGCCTATTTTAATTTCAGCCAAGTTGTGCAGGCCTGGTGTAGATCCAAAGCACTATCTATTCAATTAAATGCAATAAGGCTTTCAAGAGAAAATGCAAAATATTGTACTGTCAATATTAACTTACTAACTTAGTTAATTAATTAATTACTAAAGAATGTAATAAATCTTGCTGAGACTACAAATTTAGAAGTTGAAAAAACAGGGATAATGGTTAAACTATTTTCCTCCCTTATTGTGGTCATTTCAAACCAATGCAGCCTGTCCCTTTCTAGTTTTCCATGTTTATAATGGAGAACTGCTAACCAATGTTAAAAACCACTTAAAAACATTTTACCTTGCTGAAGAGACTCAAGTTCAAAATTCTTCTGTCCATCTGGGGGGGGGGGGGGAGAAAAGAGAAAGCATCTTAGCAGTATTTCCACTGTAATTCTTCAGTTAATTAAATCTCTCAATTTACCACTAAATTCAGTGGGATTTTAACCATTCAACTCGCATTGGCTATTGGTTTTTGTGGGATTTCATTCCTTGAAAAAAATCTGAAATGTGTACACAGAACACCATATTCACATATTTCATGTAGGTAAAGGAGTTTTTTTGTTGAGTTCGAGGATCAGAGAAGCAGATGATGAAAACAGAAGAACGGCTTGCCTCAGGGGAACGTGCTTGCTCTATCAGTGCTTAACATTTATACACCTGATCAGCCACTGCCAGAAGGGACAGAGTTTCATCTATGCTGACGATCGTGCCATCACCGCTCAAGCAGGGAGCTTTGAAATGGTTGAACAGAAGCTCTCTGAAGCTTTAAGTACTCTTCCTGCCTTTTATAGAGAAAATCAGCTGATTCCTAATCCATCCAAAATGCAGATGTGTGCTTTTCATCTTAAGAACAGACAAGCATCTTGAGCTCTGAGGATTACCTGGGAAGGAATCCAACTGGAGAATTACAGCACACCAAAATACCTGGGAGATACTATAGACTGTGCTCTGACTTATAAGAAGCACTTCTTGACTATCAAGCAAAAGGTGGGTGCTAGAAATTATCTCATATGAAAGCTGACTGGCACAACCTGAGGATCACAACCAGACACAGTGAAGGCATCTGCCCTTGCACTTTGCTACTCTGCTGCTGCCCAGCGTGGAATACATCTCACCACATTCAAACAGTGGATGTGGCTCTTAATGAGACACAGGATGTTTATGCCCTACACCACTGGAGAAATTATATTGTTTAGCCAGTATTGCACCACCTTTTTTTTGTCGTGTCAGGAGCGACATGAGAAACTGCAAGTGGCTTCTGGTGTGAGAGAATTGGCCGTCTGCAAGGACGTTGCCCAGGGGACGCCCGGATGATTTGATGTTTTTATCATCCTTGTGGGAGGCTTCTCTCATGTCCCCGCATGAGGAGCTGGAGTTGATAGAGGGAGCTCATCCGCCTCTCCCAGGATTTGAACCTGCAACCTGTCGGTCTTCAGTCCTGCCAGCACAGGGGCTTAACCTACTGTGCAACTGGGGGCTCCGGTGCACCACCTGATATCTGCTGAGAAGTAGCAGCCAGCAATTAAAGGGCCAAGGCATTGACATATCTGGCCCATCCTCTGTTTGGATATCAGCCAGCAAGCCAACACCTTAAATTAAGAAACAGCTTCCTAAGATCTACAGAGATACTTGCAGGAACACCTCAGCAAATGAGAGTCCAAAAGTGGCAGGTAAAAAAACAGAACCTCAATCAGTGGTTGATACCGGATGAGAAACTCCCCTCTGGTCACACAGAAATCTGGGCGATGTAGAAGGCACCACAAGATGCAGAACTAACCTTAAGAAATAGGGCTACAAAATGAAGTACACAACATGCGAATGTGGAGAAGAGAAAATCACAGACAACTTACTACAATGTGGTGTGAGCAGCATGTCTCATTAAGAGCCACATCCACTGTTTGAATGTGGTGAGATGTATTCCACGCTGGGCAGTAGCAGAGTAGCAAAGTGCAAGGGCAAATGCCTTCACTGTGTCTGGTTGTGATCCCCAGGTTGTGCCAGTCAGCTTTCATATGATATAATTTCTAGCACCCACCTTTTGCTTGATATTCATGCACATGCACAATGGAGGCCCTTCTTACAGTGACACCAGTGGCACTCTATGTGGTCAATTTCTAGTCAAAGGAAATTTAGTATAATGCCAAGTTTTTAACTTTGTGGTTTTTCTATACAATATAACTATATTTTCAATTCGTTTCTCACACAATAAATAAATAAATAAATGTATTGTCGAAGGCTTTCATGGCTGGAATCACTAGGTTCTTGTGGGGTTTTTTGGGCTATAGGGCCATGTTCTAGAGACATTTCTCCTGACGTTTCGCCTGCATCTGTGGCAAGCATCCTCAGAGGTAGTGAGGTCTGTTGGAATTAGGACAATGGGTTTATATATCTGTGGAATGGCTGGGGTGGGGCAAAGAGCTCTTCCCTGCTGGAGCTAGGTGTGAATGTTTCAACTGACCACCTTCATTATCATTTAAATCCTGGCTGAGCCTGGGAAAATCTTCTGTTGAGAGGTGTTAAGATGTGCCTGGTTGTTTCCTCTCTGCTGTTTTGCTGTTGTAATTTTAGAGTTTTTTAATACTGGTAGCCAGATTTTGTTCATTTTCATGGTCTCTTCCTTTCTGTTGAAATTGTCCACAATTGTGGTCAGTTGAAACATTCACACCTAGCTCTTAGCCCCACCCCAGCCATTCCACAGATATATAAACCCATTGTCCTAATTCCAACAGACCTCACTACCTCTGAGGATGCTTGCCATAGATGCAGGCGAAACGTCAGGAGAAATGCCTCAAGAACATGGCCCTATAGCCCGAAAAAACCCACAAGAACCTAAATAAATAAATGTAGGTAATTGTGTAATACTAGAATTGTTTACCTATTTGATATAAATTGCAGGTGTTATCAGTTGTTAGTTTTTCCAAGAGGCTTGTCATGTTTTCTTCCAGGCCTTCTTTTTTCAAAAAAGAATGCTCATCTTGAAAGAGGAAGAGGCATGATGATCTGAAGGAAGCAAACAACACAGAAGAATCAGGACATTTGTGATCTCTAGTTTCCCCAAAAAATATTACATTGACATTGATGGAATAACTGTCAACTGTTTTTTTTTCTACTGCTAATTTTTAATTTATGTACCTTGTTTTAAATCATGTGTGAGTCATCTTAGATCCCCTGTGGGAGACTAATTCATTATGTAAACAAACAAATAAATCCATCGCTTTCACAGTAATATAGCTGTTTAGCAGGTTTGAGTTCACAATCAATCGACACCAAAATGAAAAAGTGATGCCCAAATACTGGATGGGAGGTTGTGATCACCAATGTGCAGCAGCAGAAATCTTTCTAAAAGCAACAGATGTTGACAATTAGAGGACAATGCCTTGCTTTGTCATCTTCTTTAACACTTACTCTGTCGCAGCAGTGCTGAAGCCTTCAGGACTGACGTGGCTGGTTTGTACAAAACCAACCTGGCCAGAAGGGACGTGTCTTCCTACGAACCATGGCATGCATTTCATAAAATAGCCAATTATTTCAATTTGGTCTCCTTCCCGGAAACTAATTTCCTCAGGAACAATACTTTCATGGCTAATCATCGCTACAGAAAATCCTGTGGCTGTATAATAAAGAAATAAAATGGATATTAATGGGAAAATGCAAGGACGATGAAGAAAAGTGATATACTACTAGTAGCATTATTTTAAATATTACAGTTGATTAGATTTTGAGGCACCCAAGAAGTCAAAGGCTTTCATGGCAGGATTGCTGTGGGTTTTTGGGCGGTATGGCTATGTTTCAGTAGCATTCTCTCCTGACGTTTCACCTGCATCTGTGGGAAGCATCCTCGGAGGTTCTGTTGGCAATTAAGCAAGTGAGTGTGTGTGTGTGTGTGTATGTATATATATATGTGTGTGTGTGTGTAAATACACACACACATATACATATACACACACACTAGCTGTACCCACCACGCATTGCTGTGGCCAACCTTCCCTTCCTGTGAGAGCTGTTCAGCAGTGGAACTCTCTGCCCCGGAGGCTCCTTCTCTGGAAGCTTTTAAACAGAGGCTGGATGGCCATCTGTCAGGGGTGATTTGAATGCAATATTCCTGCTTCTTGGCAGGGGGTTGGACTGGATGGCCCATGAGGTCTCTTCCAACTTTTTGATTCTATGATTCTGATTCCTGTTTCTGTCCTTTCTTTCTCTCCTTCCTTCCTTCCCTCTTTCCTTCCTTCCCTTTTTTCTTTCCTTCTCTCCTTCCCTTCCTTCTCTTCCTCTTCCCTTCCTTCCCCCCTTTTCTTTCCCTACCTCTTTCTCCTCTTTCTTCATTCTCTACCTATTCTTGGATTGCAACTCCCAGCAGTCCTCCTGAACAATCTACCCACTTACCTACCTACCTCTATCTAATCTATCTATCTTATCTTTCTGGAGGGTTTCTGGGAGTTGCAGTCCAGGAATAGGAAATTGGAAATTTTCAGGAATTGGGATGCTCTCAAAGAAAACCAAGGAGAAGAAACCTTGCAGCTTGGAAGCAGTGCATTTGGATCATCCTCCTCTCCTAAAGGGCCTGTTTTAGGAGATGCTGTGAGCTGTAGTCTGGAAGAGAGTGTGGATATGCAATTGTGTGTTTTGTTTGCCAGGGGAGTCGTTTTTGCGCATGCGCTGAAGCGTCTTTTTGTTGTTGTTGTTGTTGTTTTTGCTTTTTAAGTCCCTTATGCTGTGTTTTTCCATGTTTTTTATGAATCATGGTCACTTGCTGGCCTGATAGGTGTATTGTGTCCAAATTTGGTGTGAATTTGTCCAGTGATTTTTGAGTTATGTTAATCTTACAAACGAACATTACATTTTTATTTATATAGATGTGTGTGTGGGGGGGGGGAGGGGGTGTCCAGGGTGGGAGAAAGAACCCTTGTTGGTTTAAAGCAGGGTCCTCAAACTAAGGCCCGAGGGCTGGATATGGCCCTCCAAGGTCATTTACCCGGCCCTCGCTCAGGATCAACCTAAGTATGAAACGACTTGAAAGTGCATAACAACAACAACAACAACAACAATCCTATCTCATCAGCCTAAAGCAGGCCCACACTTCCCATTGTCATACGAATAAGTTTATATTAAAATTGTTCTTCATTTTAATTAATTCATTGTTTTAAAGTGTTTTTTGCACTTCAAATAAGATATACGCCGTGGCATTCATTCATGTTTTTTTTCAAATTATAATCTGCCCCTCCAGCCATTTGATGGGACTGTGACCTGGCCCTCTGTTTAAAAGGTTTGAGGACCCCTGGTTTAAAGCAAGTGTGAATTTTGCAATTAGCACTGAGTAGCCATGAAACTTCAAAGTCAATCAGTGAGGGGATTTGCATAGAAGTAGCCTGACCACTGTTGCCTGGAGGCATCCTCTGTTTGGGAGGTTTTAGCTGCTTGCTGTGTGTCTTGAGTTCTCATATTTCTGAGTAGTGTTCATTATTTACTGGTGTACATTACAAGTATATTATCTAATCATTGCTAATCTCACTTGTGTATATTTTGCAACACATTGGAGCAACTACTGTGTAAGTAAGGTCTAGATGTAAGTAAGATCTGCACATTTAATTAAGATGTATAATTAATTGTGTAGGACTCTGTATTATTTTTGTGGAATGCTGAGCCATATAGGTTAATGTATATTCTTATGTTAGGATCAAGCTTCGTTCTCTCCTGTACAATTTTACAATGCTGGGATAATTATATTGTTTTATTCAGTGTTATACAGACTGTCATTTTATTAAATTTGCACCCGCTGAAATAATATATATATGTAATTTGTCTATTGTTATTTTGAACTGCTTATTTGATACATCGTGAACTTCGTTGGGCGCCATCATGTGTAAAAGCAGTATACTGCTGCTCAGTGACTAAAAATAATTAAATATTCAAGGGTATCGAACTATGAGCAGAAGCAGAGAGCGTAACAAGAGAATTTTGCCACATAGAGAATCACTCCAGTGCTACTGTTTCCCAGGTATTTTTTAAAGCAACCCTACTGTTCAGATGTTGCGTGTTGGTTTATTCTTTGATTTTCAGGAAAGAACCCCTCCTCCCATGTTGCTGAATGTCAGAAAAAACTAACATTCTCACATATGACAACAAGCCTTTAACATTTCACAATTTCTAATTCACTTCACAAGTGTGTGAGCAAGGCTGGCTTATTCATAGCTCACTCAGGCACAGTTCACCTTATGACTGCTTGAAGACTGTCATGTTTTCTATAAGTACTTTTGAATTATATATTTCTTCTTCTAACAAACTGAATGGAACATAGATAAAATTAGAACAGGGGTGCATTGAAACTGCAAAATTAATGTAGTTTGACGCCATTTTAACTGGCTCCATCTTATGGAATCATGCCATGGCTCCATCTTATGGAATCATGGATGTTCTTTGGTGAGGCACTAGCACTCTTTGACGAAGAAGTCTTTGTAAAACTGCAACTCCCGGGATTCCATAGCATTGAGCCATGACAGTTAAAGTAAGACCAAACTACATTAATTCTACAGTGTTGATGTACCCTATGTGATCAAGATAGTATATTCCTCCTGACTTCTCAGTCATACAATTGCTCCAACAGTTATATTTAAAAATACATCCTTGCTATTAGGTGGTGTAGTTGCTTGGGCATTGGACTATGGCACTGGAGACCTAGGTTTGAATCCCCACTCATCCCTGAAAACCCATTGGGTGATCTCAAGTAAGCCACACTTTTTCAGCCTTAAATATAAAGGTAAAGGTTTCCCCTTGACATTAAGTCTAGTCGTGTCCAATTCTAGGGGGTGGTGCTCAACACCTTTTCTAAGCCGAAGATCCAGTGTTGTCCATAGACATCACCTAGGTCATGTGGCCAGCATGACTAAATGAAGCACCGTTACCTTCTCGCCAAAGTGGTACCTATTGATCTATTTACATTTGCATGTTTTCGAACTGCTAGGTTGGCAGAAGCTGTGGCTAACAATGGGAGCTAACCCCATCCCACAGATTCGCATCACCGAACTTCCGATTGGCAGCGGTTTAACCCGCCGATCTTCCGATCAGCGGTTAGCAGTTTAATCTGATTAGCAGTTTAACCCGCTGCACCACCATTGCCCCTTATAGGATAACAAAGACAAACTCTCTGAACAAATCTTGCCAAGAAACCCCTATGCAGGCTCCAGATGCGGCACACATAGCAACCAGATAGGAACTCCATCAACTGTGGAAGGAGGCAGAAGGGAGTCCTGACTGCCAAGCCATGCCAAATGCAGTTCAGCACGACTGGGCAGCCAGCTAGGAGTAACCTCCATCCCCTTGCTTCAGCTCTCCCCAGCTACAACACACCATCTACCTGGTGGCCAGGCCTGTAGCCAGAGGGGGGGGGGTTTAGAGGTCAACCCCGCCCCCAAAATTTTTCAGGTTTTAAAAAAACTGGCTTACTCATGAATTTTAACTGGTTAACCAAATCCCATGCTAAGTTTATGAGACGCAAAAAAATTAAGAGTCCCTCCAGAACTGCAAGCACTATCTCAAGCAAATATTGACAATTTATTCACACTGTCATTACTTGCAGCAATAGCCGATGTAGCGAAGCAACAAAGTTTGAGGGGAGGGGTTGAATGCACTCATTAAGGAGGCCAGACTTGGTGGAGGTGGTTGATAGGGGCGGAGCTGCAGGGTATTGGAGGCTGCTCTGCCCCCTGCTGTGCTCTTTGCTTCAGTATGAGCTAGGAGGCAGTTTCAACCCCCCCCCCCACACACACAAATTTTCAAACCCCCCCTCCCAAAAAAATTTTCTGTCTACGGCCCTGCTGGTGGCCCTTTGCTAAGAGAGTTTGAAGGAGGAAAAGCCCATTCCCCTCGATTGGCAACTCAAGTGGGTTTAACTACCTTCACCAAGAATGGCAAAAGAGCACAGTAGGTGCCGTGGCTGGAGAATGTGGCAACAAAGGAGACAGACTGGAAACTGCCATCCCATATCCCTGAACACAGGATGGCAGTCAAGACCAAGGGATGCAGAATGTCCTGACAACCCTGAATCCTAGGGCATGACTTGGACTTTCCCCCAACTTTGCTTTACCTGGATGAGGCTGCATTAAAATGGCCTTGCCCCAAGTTAAGTCAGATCAGCCCCCGGGCAGTGTTCAGTCACTAAATGGTCAATGTAGATGAGCCCTTAGTAGCCATATGTCAGAAATGTTTTGAAGGCACACAGCAACAAACAACATAGAATCATACAGATGGAGGAGACCTCATGAGCCATCCAGTCCAATCCCCTGCCAAGAAGCAAGAAAATCACATTCAAAGCACATATATGTACCCATAAGACTGGTTTGCTGGCCTGAGTGCAGGAGTGGACAGGTGAAGTTGGAGGGATGCACCCCACAAAATGCAATTTGGTTCCCAGATGCTCCCAAGCAACCTCTAAGGAATGTAGGGGCATTTTCACCATGTTTTAATTAGTAAGTGAGGAAGACCCAGAGCACACTAGTAAATGCACTATTAAATTAAATACTATCTATCTATCTATCTATCTATCTATCTATCTATCTATCTATCTATCTATCATATTAAATATATTATATTAAATACACATTATTTAATACTTATAAATAATGCAACAGCGGCTGGTTTGGAATTTCGGCATCTCTGCAAAAAGATACTTGCAGAAGTACAATACCTTCATAATGCGCTTTTTGTCCCCTGATACTTGAAAATGGAACAAGCATCATACACAGCAGAGTTAGGTTATTGGAACAAACAGGGATCTTTAGCAGGATGTCTCCCTTTTAGTTGGAGACCATGCAAAATAACAATCGCAATCTCTCAACAGCTAGGTGAACTAAATCACAGCAGGGGATAATATGTGATGTTGTGAAACAGAACCTGGAAGCCTCTACGTTTGCTGCCTTTATTAATATGATCAAAAAAGAAAGTAGTATCGGTCCTTTCTGCCAAGGTAAAATTGATAATTCCTCAACACATATATTAGACATCATGCTTGTCCATACAGATAATCTATAGGGTCGTGGCAAGACATTTTCAGCGTCTGCATGCTAACTGTGGAAATATTTTTCCAACTCAATGAAGTAGAGATTAATTATAAGCAAATTAATAAACATATTAGGGCCTCAATTTTAGAAACACCAACTTACCAACTTGATCAGTGACAACAGGTTCACTTTTGCTGACAAAATCAACAAGGTCTGGGTTTGTTTTAAGAAACCACCTTAAAAGAGAAAATGCAATGAGTAAGCTTAGCACAACATGAATTATGATCTCAACCAACACTGTCTCCTATCAGTCCAACACTTATTTTTTTGTAAATTGTTATGTTTGCTTTAATAGAGAAGCATGACTGATGAGAACACAGATACAGGGCATATTAATTCAGCTTCCTGATGATGCATTCGGCTTCCTGTTCGGTGCAAGCTACAAATACAATGGAAAATGGAAAGGAAAAGAGGGAGGGTGTTTCAAACTGACAAACATATTTTTCATCTTTTCCTTTTTGTGACTAAATGGAGTTACTTAGGCCACTTTCCAAAACAGAAGGTGCATTTACAGATCACAAAATTAATGAAGTTTAACACCACTTTAAATACAATGCCCCATAGTTTGGTTTTATAGTTCATAGTTTGGTAAGACACCAGGACTTTTTGGCAGAGAAGACTAAAGATTTTATACAACTAAAATCCCATAGCATTGAGACATGGCATTTAAAATGGTCTCAAATTGCATTAATACAGTATAAATGCATACAGAGTTCAAGCACTTCTAATAGCATGATTACATTGATTTTCAAAGGTTCAAAGAATGTCACACATTACATCTCAGTAGTCCTTGCAAAAGTAGTTTTCTCGACTGTTTATTTTGTAACTACACTGCTGTGCTAAATTTGGGGTTGTGAGACAGCTGTGTTAAAATATTCATTGTGAAATGTAACTTGCTGCCTCCATGGTTTTCAAATAATTGGCTAAATCCTCAAGTAGAATACATTAAAGCAATTTCTTCTAAATGAAAAATGATACACCTTTTTAGGATTTTCCCTATTTCATCACCAGATGGAAACCAATATTAAGGATGTACAGAATGCCTCATCAATGAATTCAATGAATGCTCAAAAAGGCGGCAAGAATGTATTATGTACTTGACCATGAGGTCACATTTGTGCTTTACCCTGTTTGCAGTCTTGATTTATCCATCAGTCACATCAAAATATAGAGTTGGCCCTAAATTCTGTCCCTGCTTAATGTATACCTAAGTACTTGGGTGTAGTTGAGAGTGCCTTGGAACACAAAAAGATCAAACCAGTCCACCTTCCAGGAAATAATGCCCGGCTGCTTTATCAATTTGTATGCACAAACTTAACTAATTTGATACGGAGAAAGAATTAAAACCAAAATTATGCACACCTGTACTAAGTACATATATACATGGTATGACCAGTCAATCCATGCATTTGATGAAAGTGAACCTAGGGACTTTTCACACTGGCATAGAATATCTAGCACAGCCAATGAAAAGGGCAGGGGACATAACTAGTGCACATGATCCTGGTACCTTGTGAACTATTTAAGTGCTGCACTCAATGCAGCATTTTTCCTACAATGTTTTGTTTTGAATTGAAAGGTGAAAAACACATTGATTTTTTTTGATTCATAGATGAAACTTGATTCAGCATACATAATTTTCTTTATATATAACTAGCTGTCCCCTGCCACGCGTTGTTGTGGCCCAGTCTGTTGATCTGGAAAATAAAGTAATGAGAAAGTGTTGGTTTTTTATATATGTAATTTCTTTATGCTTGTGGGTAAACAGTATGTCTTGTTGTTTCTTTGTCAGTGTTGATGTGGAGAGTGTCTGGTTTACCCACCTTGGAACATACAACATATCATTATCCTTCTTTAAGGGTCCCTTTCAAATCTATGATACTATATCTGTGTATGTGTGTGAATCATATCTATCTATATCTATGGCTGGATAGGTCTTTGTCGGGAGGACTTTGATTACGTTTTCTAGCCCTGATGAAGGGAGTTGGATTGGATGGCCTTAAGTATTTTCTGTTGGTCATGGGGGTTCTGTGTGGGAAGTTTGCCCTGATTCTGTCCTTCATGGGGTTCAGAATGCTCTTTGATTGTAGGTGAACTGTGAATCCCAGTTACTACAACTCCCAAATGTCAAGGTCTATTTTCCCCAAACTCTACCTGTGTTCATATTTGGGCGTATTGAATGCTTGTGCCAAGTTTGGTCCAGATCCATCACTGTTTGAGTCCACAGAGCTCTCTGGATGTAGGTGAACTACAACTCCCAAACTCAAGGTCAATGCCCACCAAACCCTTCCAATACTTTCTGTTGGTATTGGGAATTCTGTGTGCCAAGTTTGGTTCAAATCCATCATTGATGGTGTTCAGAATGCTCTTTGATTGTAGGTGAACTATAAATCCCAGAAACTACAACTCCCAAATGACAAAATCATAAATTTTTGAGTGATGGTCACTCCTTGTGTTGTGAGACGTTTTGTTGCCAAATTTGGTGTGATTTCGTTCATTGGTTCTTTTGTTTTTAAGGAACTCATTATGCACAGAGCATTTTTATATATATAGATTATAGCAAGAATTGCGCTCACACTCCAAAAAATCAAAATAATATTCTTTCACCATCTGGTACAGAACAAGAGAACATATAGTTTGTTATTGTTGGAATCAGGAAATGTAAAGTTAATTTCACAAGGAAGAAATTAGAATGGGTTAAAGAAAAATGAGGAGGGAGCAAGAAGGAGCAAAGAGGAGAAACAGTCAAATGTGACACTTTTCTTGATGCTTTCTTGGCTTGTGTTGATTGAAAATCACCCCTTAGTTGTTCTGCAGAATAAATTGTTGTATTTTTATCTCCTCGTTTCTAGTATTTGAATGACAAATAAAAAAGATTAGCTATATTGGGGCACTGTGCATCAACACTATTGAATGGTCATCAGCAGTTATGAACCAAATTTATGTTTATGGGCACATACATATGGATATACACATATACACACAGAGAACTAAGTTAAGGTACCTACTGATGAAAAGCATTCAGGGGCTCTGCAAAACGTTCAGCGTCATCATTCCAGGTGGCTGATTCTGGGCCTTTCTCAGTAGCTGACCTTCGCTGGTAAATTCGGATCACTCTTCTGTCATCATCAAGTCTTCCTTCATTGACAACATTTTCAGGATGAATTACAAAGAATGTATCTTAAGGGGGAAGAAAAAGACACATATAAAGGAGGCCTAGAATTTTGCAGACTTTTAAACAGGCGCCACATAAAATACTTTCTATTTTTTAATTATAGTTAATCATCCACTATTCTGAAAAAAAATATTATGACCCCCTATGATTCTAATATTAACAGCATTAGCAGGGATTATAAGACATTGAAAATTAATTTCTGAACTATTAAAGCTCTATGTGGATAATTTTGAAAATGCAGATATATTATACGTAGTGTTAGAGACCCTAAATTGGGTCTTTTTGGGTCCACGTCGTGGGAGCACAGAAGGAAGGGGACAGTCGCAATGAAAGATCAAAAAACAAGGTTTTATTTTAGTTTCTTCATGAAGAAGACAGACAGCCGGGCAGCATGCGCAGATGCTACCCTTCAAATGACTGTCGTGCCCCCTTGGCTTTTGACCACCAAATATATAACCTCAAGTAAACGAGAACATTTTTTGTCATGGAAAAGTACTCTCTTTCCAGCCCCCTCTCTTGACCTTTTGATGGAAAGTACCTTCTTGTACATGCAGCCTCTGCTCTTCAAAAACAACATTTGAAGTTAACCACAAGCATCCTATGTAAGAAAGTTCCCTCTTGTACTTAAAAACATTTTCTTCCGTATTGCCCTTTTTAAGTCAGAGAAAGGGTATGCCTCTCTTTTGCTGTTAATTTCATTCAAAGCCCCTTATTCAGAGACCCTTGAGGTCTCCTTAAGTAGTATACATACATTCCAAGACCCCCTATGGATACCTGTAACCGCAAAAATAACAAACCATATGTTTTGACTATACTTGGGCAAGATGCATATTACAGAATTGAACTGGAGGACACAGAGAGCAATACTATCACATTTGGGGGAGAATCTTTTTGTAGCATAAGTGATTTAGTAGTAGAGTTAGAGATAAGAACTTACATTGATAGCAGACAATTTAAGACAATCTTTCAAAAATTCATTTCAAATAAAACAAAGTGAAAGGATGGCTCCTCTGGGAGGAATCTAGGTGGGATAATGCTACCCATATACCTATTTGCCATTATTACATTTACACACATCAAATGCAAATTATATTTCATATTGATTGGATTGAATTGAATGCAATTTGCAGCTATCTGCTCTTCTTTCGAGCTGAGACAATTTTAATTCTTTGTAAAATACACAGATATTTATAAGAAAGGAAGGAGCCCCTGGTGGCGCAGTGGGTTAAACCCCTGCGCTGGCAGGACTGAAGACCAACAGGTCGCAGGTTCGAATCCGGGGAAAGGTGGATGAGCTCCCTCTATCAGCTCCAGCTCCTCATGCAGGGACATGAGAGAAGCCTCCCACAAGGATGATAAAACATCAAAACATCCGGGCATCCCCTGGGCAATGTCTTTGCAGATGGCCATTTCTCTTACACCAGAAGTGACTTGCAGTTTCTCAAGTCACTCCTGACACGACACAAAAAAAAGGAAAATGCACTCCCAAGTATGCAAAAGTGTATAAAGATCATACAACAAAAATAACAACATTTGTTCCACCAAGTGATATATTGTTACAATAGTTACCCCAATAGTTCCACTTATGAGTATTTCAGTAAGCAAGAAAAACAGTCTACCTAAACATTCAGTTCCAAACCTTTTCCTAAATAATAATAAATAAAAACATACTTTATTTATATTCCGCATTATCTCCCCGGCAGAACTTTGAGCAGATTACGGTACATATAAGGTAAATATTCAACATCATTTTATTTTATTTATTTACAGCTTTTTATATTCCGCCCTTTTCACTCCGCAGGGGACTCAGGGTGGATTACAGCGTACACATATATGGCAAACATTCAATGCCAATTTTTGACATACAAACATGTACAGACATACACAGAGGCTATTTAACTTTTTCTGGCCGCCAGGGGAGCTGTCGCTTTCATCATCGATCTGCGACGCTGATGAAGTACTTCCGCATTCCCGCATGCTTCCCCGCTGGAATGCTTTGCTGGAGTCTTTTTTATGGCGTCATAAATCAGTTAATATAGCCTCCCCACACTTTAAGGTGGTACCTAATTTTCCTACTTGACAGATGCAACTGTCTTTCGGCTTGCAAAGGTCGACAACAGGCTACACACAATTGGTTGGAAACCCACTCCAGCCCAGGCTGGCTTTGAACTCATGACCTTTTGGTCAGAGTGATCTTAATGCAGCTGACACTCAGCCAGCTGCGCCACAATCCCATTATTTTACATGAATAATGACATACAATACATCTCCGGTGTCTGGAGGCGATGCTCAACTTCCAGCCATGGGGAGGTGCTCTTGTTCCATTTCACATGCCGAAAGAGTCTACTGTTCATAGACATCCTGCCCTTTTACCTTCCTGCCAAGGCGGTACCTATTAATCTACTTGCATTGCATGCTTTCGAACTGGTAAGTAGGCAGAAGCTAGGACTGACAAACGGAAGCTCACCCTGACTCATGGCTTCGAACTATTGACCCTCCAGTCAGCAGCCTTTCCTGCAGCTAGCGGCTTTAACCACTGTGCTATTGCGACCCCAGAATACCAAAGATATTCTGTACCTATTTCAGTTGCTACAGAGTCTCTTTAATTAATCCAGTACTCAAAGGAGACCTCTAACCTGCCAAAGTTTTGATTTCTATGCTTTATGTTAATCTTCATTGTTAGAATGATTAGATCAAACTTTTTTTTAAAACAAACTTGATTCAGATCATACAAGGCTACAAGCCACAGGGGTTGTTCTGAACATTTTGTGTTGCTGTGTTCTTTATTGTTTGATAGTGTCCTGGGGGAAATGTAATACTATTTTTCATGTTAGCCACCTTAATGGGAAAAAAAACCCTTTTAAGAGTGAAATATAAATGACTGATACAAATAAAATGAGCTGTCTCTATCAGTTAATTTATAATACATTAAATTCCAATTTTCTCTCCCTATACACATTCATTAACAAGTCATTCCCACAGAATAATTATCTAATCTCGTTCCCATTCCATTTTATAGGTACTTTCTACCCAAATACATCTATATATATAAAAATGCTCTGTGCGTAATGAGTACCTTAAAAACAAAAGAACCAATAAACGAAATAACACCAAATTTGACAACAAAATTTCTCACAACACAAGGAGTGACCATCACTCAAAAATTATGATTTTGTCATTTGGGAGTTGTAGTTTGCTGGTATTTATAGTTCACCTATAATCAAAGAACATTCTGAACTCCATCAACAATGGAATTGAACCAAACTTGGCACACAGAACTCCCATAACCAACAGAAAAAACTAAAAGGGTTTGGTGGGCATTGACCTTGAGTTTTGGAATTGTAGTTCACCTCCATCCAGAGAACACTGTGGACTCAAACAGTGATGGATCTGGACCAAACTTGACAGGAATACTCAAATGTGAACACAGATGGAGTTTGGGGGAAATAGACCTTGACATTTGGGAGTTGTAGTTACTAGGATGTATAGTTCACCTACAATCAAAGAGCATACCGAACTCCACCAATGATGGAATTGGGCCAAACATCCCACACAGAACACCCATGACCAACAGAAAATACTGTGTTTTCTGGTGGTCTTTGGTGATCCTTCTGACACCCCTCTGGTGACCGACCCCCCCCCCCCAAGGTCTTGACTTCTCAGGTTGAGAAATGCTTCCTTAAGGCCATCCAGTCCAACTCTCTTCACCAGGGCAAAAAAACATAATCAAAGCCCTCCTGACAAAGGGCCATCCAGCCATTCACATACACACACATATGTATATGTCTCTTTATCAAAGATTTGAAAGGGAACCCTAAAGAAGAACAACGATATCTTGTATGTTCCAGAGTAGACAAACCAGACAATCTCCACATCAACACTGGCAAAAAAAAAAACAGCAAGAAATACTGTTTACCCACAAGCATAAAGACATTACATATATTAGAAACCAACAGTTTCTCATTAGATCACCAGACTGGGCCACAGCAACGTGTGGCAGGGGACCGCTAGTTTTTCATAAATAGCCCTTTTAAACAAAAACGTAAGTAGGCATTGCTTGTTAGAGCAATGTGTTAGCCCTTGTTGTTTGAAAACTAATCTTTTTTGGAAGATCCTACTTTTCGGTTATTTTGTTACACCTAAACATGGGAAAAGTCCAAAAAGTGACACTCCAAGTCCTTCATTTGAGAAAAATCAAATATTAATCATTGTACTAAAAGCGGTAATTTCATGCTACCAATAGTTATATTATTTTTTAAAATACATTTTAATATCTTTGGTTCAGGGGTAATTGTATTGGTGATGCAGCAAAATATAACACAATGCAAAATACACAAAGTATCATTGCATGTGAATTTTGTTATGCCATTCTTAAAGTTAACATCGTTACATATAAGAAATTGTTTCCAAACTCTGCACATAACTGAGAAACCAGAAACTAGTCTAAACACTGAAGGTGCAGCAACCATAAGAAGTAGAGGAAATATAATACTATAATATGTAGCATTCTCCAATACATGCACATGCCAAATCATTTGTTTCAGAAGCATTCCATGGAGTCCAATGGATAGCAATATTATCTGGCAATAGTACATATAAAGCCAGCTACCTTCTTGAAGTAAGAGCTCTCGATACATCCTATCAAGACAGTCTTCATCTAGATGGACATCAATTCCAACTGCTTCTTCTGGTGGAGAGAGCCAAAAATGGTCATCTAGTAACAGATTCTCCATGCAATGGTTTAGAAAACCTGTCAAAGAGATTTTTGTCATCAAAACCCTACTACATAACTCTTTATTTCGAAAGTTAGTAAGTCAAATATCTTCTTAGTAGGACTCATCAAGATTTGGTTTAGGTCTTGATTTGGCAAATTGGCAGTCTAAGATGCATGCAAATTCAAATCATGTTCTGATTTTGAACCCAAATCTTCATGTATCCCACTGTCGCTCATCAAAAATCAATAAATGACAACTGCTTTGTTCACCAGAATTCGATGAAATTTCCAGAGGTGGTGGTGGTGGTGGTGGTAGTAGTAGTAGTAATAATAATAATAATAATAATAATAATAATAATAATACACTTTATTTTTATTCTGCTCAATCTCCTTGAGGGGGTTCAGAGTGGATTACAACCTACACAGATAGGCAAACATTCAATGCCTTAATACAGTGGTACAATGACATACAAATCCACAGAACAAATATAAAGGCCTTCCACTTTCATCTCCAGCTTTTCCGAGGCGATGCTCAACTCTGGCCATGGGAAAATGCTCTTCTTCCATTTCCAAGCCAAGGACCTTCTTGTCCATAGACACCTCCTGGTTGTATCACCAGCATGGCTGCTTGGGCACCTTTATTACCTTCCCGCTGAAACCTATTGATCTATTCACATTTGGATGCTTTCAAACTGCTAGGTTGGCAGGAGCTAGGGCTGACAGCAAGAATTCACCCTGACATGCAGCTTCGAATTGCCAGCCTTTAGGTCAGCAGATTCAACACTTCAGTGGTGTAACCCATTGTGACACTACATATGAGAGAATTGCAGCTTCCAAATCACAAATAAATTTGATTTTTAGCCTGCTATGTGCTTTTAAATCTTAATTTTTTAAATATATATATAACATTAACTTTTTTGAGTTTTTTGGCAGAATTTAGTTAGTTAGTTGTCCCTTCTGGGGGAAATCAAACCTACCAGATTTTAGATTAATACAAGGAGTTTAGAGCAGCCGTCCTCTGCTAATCTATTCAGAGAACGACTTTTATTTTCTTGGAGAAGTAACCGCGGGGAATATCTATTCTAGCATCTTAAAGACCTACACAGGTCTTAAGGTAGACACTAACGGTCCACAGTTTTTCTGAACCTATATTACACACTTCAAACTTTCATAATGCAACATCTCTAGAATCAAGAAATATCAGCAGTGGTGGTGGTGGTGGGGGTTCTCTGGATATCAAATACTCTTTAAAAGATGAAAGCAAATTATAACTATTCTAAAAGGAAAAATTTGATGCAGGGAGAAAATAGCAAGGTTTGATAGGGCAGGGAGAACATAATTTGATGGGGCTTTATGAAACTCTTCTTACATCAGGAGCTGGCAAAGAATAGTATGATTCGTGCTTTAAATAATCCCTTAGGTCAAAAAAAGTCAGTGGAACTCAGATTGTTCCAATTGATAATTTGAGGGATTTTTTTCAGGGTTTGGGAGTAGTAGAAGAGTCAAAATGGGCTTGTGATCTACAAATGTCAAAGAAAGTGTAAACATGGCTCCTGGACACTCAAATGTTGTGTATTGCTTATCTGCAAGCATGTCACATTTAAGGCAAAATAGGGAAGAATACAGCTCTCTACATTCATCCAGATTAGGGGCACAGAGTCCAAGCAAAAGTGGAAAAAGAAATCTATCTTTTAACCTGAGAAAAACCGTCTCTGGGAATATCTATGCCAGTGGTTCTCAACCTGTGGTTCCCCAGGTGTTTTGGCTTACAACTCCCAGAAATCCCAGCCAGTTTACCAGCTATTGGGATTTCTGGGAGTTGAAGGCAAACATATCTATGGACTCACAGGTTGAGAACCACTGTGCACAAGGCCTTCAGGCGAAATCCAGACCATGATGACATTCTACATGGCCCACAAAGCTTTCAATGCCAGGGCAACATGGTTAGATTTACACACTCTTACAATTACAAACATCCCTTTGAAGGCAACTGTAATTCTGATCTGGCCCAAGGTGAAAATCAGTTTGACACCCCTGTTCTAACGCAGGTCCATGTCAAGCAGATGTTGATAGGGTCACATTGGAGAATCTAGAGAGAACATTTTAATCAATTCCACACATAGAAATGCTGGAGTTCTCCAGTGTTTGCAGGGATGTGGGTAGAGAGGGGTTACAGCTTACAGGGCACTTGAAGAATAGTAAGAATAGACTCACATTGGATTATGGGACTCTCCTGTCAAGTTGTCATTACCTCCTCCATCCCACAAGCTCTGTTGCTGCTCAGCTCCCTCGATCCCGCCCACACCTTCAGTTCTCAAGAAGTAATTTTTTAAAAAATGAAGAGAAAAGAAAGTCTGAGCCTATCTAAGCTGGTATTTAATTTTCCTTACTGTTTTTTTAAAGGTTTTCTCAGAGCAGTGAAAGTCCTGACATACTACATCCTAATAGAATAGCTGGAAGCATGAATCATGTTGGTTTGGGAACAACTGAGTAATTCTCCGAAGAGAAGAGGAACAGTGTTTGAAAGAGGGTGGACATTAAGGACTTGGGACAATAAGCAAAGGTATTTCTAGATATCATCCTGCTTGGTTTGAGGGGCATAGAGGAGCAAAAGAAATACCACAGGGGTGCTAACCCTTCCCTATGCCATTCAAAGCTCCCCCCCCCCATATATATACACACACACATCATGTATAAGGTGTGTGTGTGTGTGTGTATATATATATATATATATATATATAGAGAGAGAGAGAGAGAGAGAGAGAGAGAGAGAGAGAGAGAGAGAAACACTTTAAAATGTTCCTGTTCCGACTTACAAACAAATTCAGCTTAAGACCAAATCCACAGAACCTATCTTTTTCATAACTTGAGGACGGCCTCTATTCGGAATCAGCCTAGATTATTTCAGTCTATTCTTTGAATTGATCCAAGAGATGGATTCTAAAAAATCAGTTATTTGGGTCTGTTCTTTCATATGCAACATTTAAAATAAGTTTTTCACACGTATGCTTGTAAAGCAAATGTATATTTCTTACTATTTAGATACAATTTGCACACATACTTTCTATAAATAGTAGTACTTTACCAAGGGAATGATAAGTGATAAATTTCCAGATTTCTTCAAAAGTCCAAAATGTTACCACTATTAGGTGATCTTCGCTGTGAATTGAAAGTAGTCTGGCAGACAGCTCCTAAGAAAGATAAAAAAAAAACATGCATGCAACTGGCTAACAGAAGAAGCTAGCAGCTCACACTTGTGATTTTTTTTTTTTGTCGTGTCAGGAGCTACTTGAGAAACTGCAAGTCGCTTCTGGTATGAGAGAATTGGCTGTCTGCAAGGACGTTGCCCAGGGGACGCCCAGATGATTTGATGTTTTTATCATCCTTGTGGGAGGCTTCTCTCATGTCCCCGCATGAGGAGCTGGAGTTGATAGAGGGAGCTCATCCGCCTCTCCCCGGATTCGAACCTGCGACCTTTCGGTCTTCAGTCCTGCCGGCACAAGAGTTTAACCCACTGTGCCACCGGGGGCTCAAGAGAAGAAAACATGGCAGAAGGAAAACTAATGTTGAGACAGCCTTGCTGCTATTTAAGCCTAATGGCAATACCTTAGGGCTTTAGAAATTTTCATAATGCTTAGGTAAGATATCAAGTAAAATATATGAGATGTTATGGAGCAGGTACACTGTGTTGGTGCATAACACAAGTGGAATTTTCACTCTTGTCCAAAAAATATGTATATTATTTTCCTATTAACTTCATCAGGGGTGTGTATAAAAAACCAAAGACAAAACAATATTCACATAAAGACATAATAATATAATTGGAAACATTAAAAATGATGTAAAGAACAAACAAGAAGATTGTTTAACCATCTTGGTATCATTCCTTAATGCAGTGAGCAAGGACAGCCAACAGCTCCATAGGGAATGCATTCCACAGTTTAGGAGCACTGCCTTAAACCAATGAGCACTAACTTCTTGGCTTTATTTTTACTGTTTGTTTTACTCTGAAAGTTACGGTTCAAAGAGACTGTCAGGCCCTATATCCGAGGGTCTCATCCCAGGTTTTGTTTATCCCAGATTATCTTGGAGTGGGGACTCATATAATCCAGGTTAAAATAGAAAACCTGGGATCAGATCCTGGGATATACGACCTGTCTGGAAGGGTCCTGAAAAGGATGCAACCAACCTTGTTTCTTTCATTAGCATGTTTTTTTTGCCTTAGTACAGTTTGAGGCTCAGAAAATACAATACCCAATTTGTGGGTCCGAACTTGATACCCAATTTGTGGGTCCGAACTTGAGTAGATCCATCGAACAACTGGATTGATGAAAGATAATTTATTATTCAACTACTAATTCAGTGGATCTAGGCTAGCCAGGATAAACAATTAGATCCAGCCCATGAGAGGAGGTATAATTCTCTGAAGTTACTGCATAGCACAGTGGTTCTCAACCTGGGGTCCCCAGATGTTTTTGGCCTTCAACTCCCAGAAATCCTAACAGCTGGTAAACTGGCTGGGATTTCTGGGAGTTGTAGGCCAAAAACATCTGGGGACCCCAGGTTGAGAAGCACTGGCATAGCAGATACTAGCACACCTTATTATTTGTCATGCTGTGTATTAGTTCAAAACTGTTTGGAGGACAACACAGTTTCCATCCTTGATATACGGAGCTCTTAGTAATCCATCTTTGTTATGCAGTTAAGCACTCCATCAACTTTGCTGGACTTGCCATGTTAATCAAATGTCCAATCACCATCTCCCGAAGCTGTTAATTATTCTCAACTTAAGAACCAAAAATGGAATGTCAGTGGACAACAAAAGAGATTTAAAGACAGGCTTAAAAGTAACCTAAACAAATATGGTATAATCACTAAGAAATGGGGAAACTCTGGCACTCATGCATTATAACTAGAAGTCTGATGTTACCAACGGTGCTATGCATTTTGAAGACGCACAAACACAGGGTGAAAGGAAGAAATGTGTACATCAAGTAAACCCTTGTCATGACCACCTTCCACATGGAAATCTATGTTCTCAATATGAAAGACCATGCAGATCCAGAATAGGTCTTCACAGTCATGTATGGATCCACCGCCAAGATTATACCTCTGGAAGACAATCATACTCAGCCATGAGTGATCTCCCAGCTCCTGTGAACTGTAGCAGGTTGAAATAAACCTGTTTGGACCTTCACTGACAGTAAGTAAGAATCAGACCAGAAACTAAACTCAATGCCAGTTTAGATGCATATGAGTGCTAGTAATCTTCCACATAGTTTCTCCCTTCAAAGTTGGAGCTTTGAAACATAAAAGGATTGTTTGCCTATAAAATATGATAAAAAGCTACTATTTCAGTCCTATTGCAGTGCAAGTGTTGTCAAGTTGACAGGCCTTTCTTTATGAATCCATAATTAAGGATTACTAGTAGGACAAATTTGACACTTGCATCATGACTGTTTTGTGCTTTGCAGGAAACAGAGCTAAGGTGATACGATAATGTTTCCAGAGGAAAGGGATGCATATTTTCCATGGCTGATTGTGTAGAACCCTGTCTACTCATTCCCTTTCCTGTTTCTGAAGCATACAAGAACCTTTGCACCATTTACCAGGCTCCTCATTGTAGCCACTTCAGTGTGACAAACTAGAGGGCTGAAAATAAGATACACTGTTATCAGGAACCAAGTGGAACATGTGAGGTCTAAACATGCCCCTGCTCTCCACCCATCAGAGTTGGAATCAAGTGAGAAGGAATGAGTTTATAGGGCTATACAGCTAAGAAGAAATGAAAGCTGAATTCTAATCCAGTTACAATTATATCAAAAAGTGTCTGATCTTGGAAGAGAAATAGATCAGTACTTGGATGGGAGGCTACTAATGATTACCAGGCCTGTAGGCTCTATTTCATAGGGGGACATGCAGAGGTGGCCCTAGGTAATTTTCAACGGTAAGCAAACAGTATTTTGGCGCCCCCCCCCCCAACCAATCACTGATATATATTTTCTGTTCATCGTGGGAATTCTGTGTGCCATATTCGGTTCAATTCCATCATTGGTGGAGTTCAGAATGCTCTTTGATTGTAGGTGAACTATACATCCCAGTAACTACAACTTGCATATGTCGAGGTCTATTTTCCCCCAAGAGTGCCCCTAGGCAAAATCAACTATACTGCAAATGCTTACTTTGCGTAATGGGTTGAGCTGCCCCTGGGGACATGGCAAAACCATCTCTGAGTATCCCTCGCCTAAGAAAACCTTTTGAAATTCACAAGGGCTGTCAAAAGTCAAGAGGTGAGTTGAATGCACATATATATACACAAGCATTACTTACACTAAAAACGGTCCTGGCTTTCTGGTTGTCATTCTCCAGAAGACGGAGTTGTTTTCTCAAATATCTCTGGAGTTCAGCATTAGGAAGCCCAGTTTTACGTTTCACCATGATTACCTTCAGTGATATAGCTGGAAAAAAATGAGTTTTGTGGTCTTAAGAATATGAACAAACTTTACACCAGAGCTTGAAAAGGTTATTTTTAAAGCATCCAGAATCTACAGCCAATCTCAGCTCAGGAGATTCAGTAAAATTTAGTCCAAAATGTTAACCTTTACAGGCTCTTTGTACTATTGGTCCTTGCGATTCATTTTTGCGATGCATTGGTACCATGGTCCTTGCAATTCATTTTTTCCTTCTGGACTGTTATGTTGCTCACACTATAAAACCATATAATCCTAGAGCTGGAAGAGACTTCAAGAGCCATCTAGTTCCATCCCTTTCTGCCATACAGGAGTACATAAGAAAAGAATTCCTGACAAGACAGCTACTCATATGCAGCCTACATATGAGTATTGGGAGTAGGAGAATCAAAATACATATAATTATGAACATGCACTATAGAGAAGAAAATTATTCGAAGATTGAACCTATATACAGAGGCGACCCTAAGTAATTTTCAATGGTAAGCAAACAGTATTTTGGTGCCCCCCCCCCCCAACCAATCACTGATATATATTTTCTGTTCGTCATTTATTTATTTATTTATTTATTTATTTATTTATTTATTTATTTACAGTATTTATATTCCGCCCTTCTCACCCCGCAGGGGACTCAGGGCGGATTACATTGTACACATATACAGCAAACATTCAATGCCAATTTGACATACAACCTATACAGACATACACAGAGGCTATTTAACTTTTTCTGGCCACCAGAGGAGCTGTCGCTTTCATCGTCCACCTGCGACACTGATGAAGTACTTCCGCATTCCCCGCATGCTTTTGCTGGAGTGCTTTGCTGGAGTCTTTTTTATGGCCTCATAAATTAGTTAATTTAGCCTCTCCACACAAGGTGGTACCTAATTTTCCTATTTGACAGATGCCACTGTCTTTTGGATTGCAAAGGTCGACAACAGGCTACACAATTGGTTGGAAGCCCACTCCAACCCGGGCTGGCTTTGAACTCATGACCTTTTGGTCAGAGTGATCTTAATGCGGCTGCACCACAATCCAGGTCATGGGAGTTCTGTGTGCCATATTTGGTTCAATTCCATCATTGGTGGAGTGCAGAATGCTCTTTGATTTTAGGTGAACTATACATCCTAGTAACTACAACTCGCATATGTCAAGGTCTATTTTTCCCCAAGAGCGCCTCAAGAGCGCCCCTGGGCAAAATCAACTATACTGCAAATGCTTACTTTGCATAATGGGTTGAGCCGCCCCTGCCTATATAGAAAAAAAGGTCTGGAAGATGTCAATAGATCTCACCTTTTTGTTGCTGCTGCTGCTGCTGTTGTTGTTGGAGTGCAATTTCTCTGCTGACATACAGCGATGAAGGTACATCCAAGTGCACTGGAACACATTTACAAGAAGAGGCATTGTGTCTTGGTAACTCTGTATTTTCTTCCCAACAGGTTCTTTGCTTCTGACTGAAAACTGGATAAGCTGTATCAGGAACTTTCCCCTCTGACAGAACATCACAGTGTGAAGTCCTTGTAATGAATGGGTCGTCTCCTGTTGCTCCTAAAGACTCCATGGGCAGCCAGTCTAATAAAAATGAATTATCACACAAATCATATACAATGTTGAATTTTCAAAGGTTAATATCGGTTCAGCCTAATATCAAGACCCTGATATGAATAATTTTACCTCTACGGTAAGGTGGTCTGGGCAAGCTCTTCATCTCTCAGCCTCTCTACTCAACACTGCCATACAGGGGAGTATTAATGCTGACTTTTTATGTAATGGGTCTGCTGTAGGGTTGAGAAATGATCTGGACAATTGGAAATATTTCATAAATGTTACTTTAAGGAGAGAAGTAGCTATAGAAAAAATGCACCCAGCATTTTCCCTCTTCCTTTGAGCACTTCTACCATATAAAATGGTCTCCTGACAACTCTGTGCAAAGTAGAGCAGGCACCACTTTGGGAGCTCGCATTGGAAGTCAGATACATAATTCAGCATCATTCTGGTAACTAACACACACTACACAGCTCTCATTTTGACCTAGATAAAGAGGGAAAGCATAAAAGAGAGAGAATATAGAACGAGAAAGGATTTTCAAAACATTTTTAGCTTAGTCTATGCATTACAGCTGAAAAAGTATTTGACACGTCTTTGCAATTTTCCCCATAAACCTTTTCTTCTTCTATAGAATAAAAGACTGTTATTTGCTCTTCTTTTATGTATTCTGTATTCCTATTGAAGGGCATGCAATGCCCCAAGTTACACAAACATTTAAATGCAGAAACAAATGTATGGAGGGATCCCCTACCTTTGCCACTCTTGCTGGTTCCTAATTTTCACTCCAGCCACATAAGGCATACTTCACTGCTCCTGTCCAAAATGACTGCTGAAATGTCCCTTCCTGTTTGAATCCCCCTTTTCCTGTTGGCTCATATCTACTCTGGACTTTTCAGCTAACACAGCAAGTTGACCATTAACAGACAAGGTTAAGCTTACAACCCTTTTTAACTGCTAAGCTGCTGAAATGCCCTAAACTACATTTCATCTATTTTTATTGCTTTTGATTGTGAGAAGCTTTGAAGGTCCCATCTGGTGCTTTGCTATTGCTTCATAACCCAGGACTGAATCCCAGCAAAGCAATTGTTGGAAACTAAGCTCTAAGGTTCTTGGTAATGAGAGATGACAAAAATCTTGGAACTTACAATTCATGATTTTTAAAAATATAAATGGAAGGTTTTCATGAGATATGTTATGTCTTCGTACATTTTGTTATTACAGTTTATGTATGTATGTGCAGGTACAATTGCACCAGGAGCTCCAATTTTGTTTGCTTTGCATTTAATGTTTGTTATAGTCCTAAGTTTCAGGGACTCTGCAGATAGGTGGCTTCTTTTGGCTGCAATCATAGGGCAAGCCACCTGTCAATTATAGTTAGGTTCCCTGGTCCCGCCCCCCTTTTTGAGTTTTAGAGGGAATAGGAGCCATTTTGAGTTCAGTCCACACAGAGAAGCTTTCCATGCAGGACATAATACCAAGAGCTCCTGTAGAAAGCTTCGTCTTCTACGGCTTGGCCGAGGAGATATACAGCCTACAGCTTGGCCGGGGTTATACAGCCCACAGCTTGGCCAAGGATTATACAGCCTTACAGCTCCTTCACTGAGGGACTTCAGTCAGCCATCACCGAAACCTGAGTTCTTTTTCCCCTGGAAGTCTAGAAAGCTCTGCTTGGTAAGGGTCACTCGTGGAAGCCAGAAGCAGTTGGTACCGGCTGTAGGGGCTCCACGCCATCAGAGGCAAAGACAGACTGCCCAGATTAGAAGTTAAGGATTTCCCCATTAGTTACAGTTTATGAAGATAGTGCCTGTTCCCTGTGGACAAGATTGAGAGAGCGCCAATAGACTGTTAAGAAAGCCTTAAAGTACTTGTTTGTTTTCATTAATAAAGAACTTTGTTGAATGTTTATGCAATCTAAAGACTCTGTTTTAAGGAAATCCAAAGGCCTTTAATCTGAGGCAGCCTCGGCGTCCCGTTGGGCACACAGAATTTGTGTTCTGTCTACAGTCTTATGCACAGGCCCAGCGTGCGACAGCACAATGTATGTGTACATATCTCTTATAAAAGGGTCATCTTAACCTTCAGTAAAACTGAATTAATGTGTTGCAAAATGATGCATGTCTAAAAATATGTGTCACCAACATGAAATGTTTGGAAAGCTCTGACCTACACCATGCTGGCTTTTTCACTGACAACTAGAGATGGATACTATACTTGTGCACGGATCTGTTTTAGCCATTTTTCTTTGGCTTATTTGACTTGTTCGGTTTCTCTGGACGGCTGTAACGGCAAGGGTTCAGCCACCATGTATTTTTTGCCTGAAATGGCTCATGTAGCTGCCGAGCACGGCCTGTTCTCTTCTATTCCGGAGCACGCAGAGCATGCTCCCTTAACCCTGTTCCTCAAACCTGGGCTCCTTTGGAAGGAAGAAAAGGAGCCCAGGAAGGGTGCTTTCTTAACCCCATTGCTTGAACTCAGACTCTCTTGAAAAGAAGAAAGGAAAGGACCCCAGAAAGGATGCTTCCTTAACGCTGTTGCCCAAACTCAGACTCCCAGAACAGAAAGAAAGCCTTGCAAGTTCCCCATTGCTGTTAATGGGCCGGATCTTCCCGGATCTTTCAGCTGCCTAGCTGAAAACAGATTTTTCCATTAGCCAATTTCCGAGAGGCTCCCAAAAAACGGATCTGGGTACCCGATGAAATTTGGATACCAAAAACGGATCACCCTCCAGCCAAATTCCACAAGCCTAATGGGTACCCATGGATTCTGTATCCAGCTTGAAAATATTTTTTAATCCAAAAAGCAAGGTTTGAGTTTGCCATTTTATGCAAGGAACATAATTTTACTACAACATTATATATGATAGGACTTGAGCATCACTGAAATTTGGTATCCAAGAGCGGGTGGGATGGGGTGTGTGTCTTGGGACCAAACCCCAGTGGTTACCAAGGACCCACTGTACATCAATATAAATTCCATAACCACAGTAATATACACACATACTCTGGCATAGACACTGAAAACTGGGAAGCCCTGGCCCTTGAGCGCTCCAGCTGGAGGTCAGCTGTGACCAGCAGTGCTGCAGAATTTGAAGAGGCATGAATGGAGGGTGAAAGAGAGAAACGTGCCAAGAGGAAGGCGCGGCAAGCTAACCCTGACCGGGACTGCCTTCCACCTGGAAACCAATGCCCTCACTGCGGAAGAAGATGCAGATCAAGAATAGGGCTCCACCGCCACCTACAGACTCACAAGACTTCTGATCCTGGAAGACTATCCTACTCGGCCAACAAGGGATCGCCTAAGTAAGTAAGTACACACACAGTTGTGCTCTATCCAGAATGCAACAAGCAAAATCTGTTCTCATATACATCCACCATAATTTACCACCTTTAGCGTTGTGGGGGAAAAAATTAGACATTCAGTGTACTGGCAAATTATTCATGGCACAGTTCAAATGAAAGGAGCATTTTCATCCAGCAATGCCCTATATGTGTGTGCGCGCGAACTCTCGTGTGTATGTTCGCAGCAGAAAATAAATTCTAAACCAAAATCTCATGTACTATACATGTTGAACAGAAATGAGTAACTTTAGAAGCCTTTTAAAATCAATTAAAAGAGAGAAGACAGAAAATCAGCTATTAAAAAGCCATCTGCAGTGAATTCCTAAGATCTTATGGGAATAAGTTTTTACTTGCCGGGGAGGCAGTCCCATGGCTTGGCAACAGCCAGGTTCCACTTCACAAATATATATAGTAAGCTAGGCAACATTGCCACATTGGACAAAAGGAAGATTCACTATGTTTAATGGGATTTACTAGTTCAAAACTGCATACTATATTAGATCTATTTTTAAATGTATTTCGGAAATGAGACTTAATTTCCTGTATTTAAACCTACTTCTGTTTTTTCAGGGGTCCAGGTCCGGCTCTCTTCATATGAAACATATATAAGGACGGTCTCCTCTACACCAAAATTCCCACATGGAAAGCCTGATGTTTTCAGGATTCTTCCTAAAAGGAAGCTAGGACATGCATTGCATGGGAGAGGGAAACAGCAACATTTCCTTTTATTGTTTTCTTTTTAAATGTTTTCATCAGGATCTGCCCAACTTCCTGCTTTAGTTTTGCTGCATGTTCAGTTTTGCTGCATACTGGAGGTCTTGCAAAGCAATTTTTAAATACATTGGAAGGATGGCATGCTAAAACTGAGTAGGGAAGATTCATGTTCAAATCTTCTGTCTTAACCATGCAACTTATTTAGTTGACCCAGGTCCAGACATTCTCATGGAGCTGTTCTGATCACAGAATTTGAAGAAACCACACGGGAAGGCCATCCAGTCCGTCTCCCTGCCATGCAAGAACACACAATCAAAGCATTCCTGACAAATGGCCATCCAGTCTCTGCTTTAAACCCTCCAGAGAAGGAGACTATGCTCTAAGGCACATGTGTCAAACTCAAGGCCTGTGGGCAGGGGCAGCTCAACCCATTACACAAAGTAAGCATTTGCAGTATAGTTGATTTTGCCCAGGGGCACTCTTGAGGCGCTCTTGGGAGAAAATAGGCCTTGACATATGTGAGTTGTAGTTACTGAGATGTATAGTTCACCTACAATCAAAGAGCATTCTGAACTCCACTGATGATGGAATTGAACCAAATATGCACACAGAACTCCCACAACGAACAGAAAATATATATCAGTGATTGGTTGGGGTGCGCCAAAATACTGTTTGCTTACCATTGAAAATTACCTAGGGCTGCCTCTGCCTGTGGGCCAAATCTGGCCTTCCATGTCATAGTATGTGATCCTCCAGATGCTGAACTACCATTCCTGTATTCCTAATCATTACATATCATGACTACAGCCAATGGGTGTTGTTATACAGTAACATCTGGAAGGCTGCCACTTAGTCAGGAAAGTGGGGTTTGGAATTAAACACAAGGCTTGTGAATATGATGTCTGACTTTAAAATGTCCTTTAACCTTTCCCCAACCTCAGAGCACAAGTGGTGTTGGATTGCATTTTCCCATTATCCCCTGCCCACATGGCATATAATCAAACATGATGGGAATTGTCATTCAATAACATCTGGGGAACCCAAACTGGGTAAAATAAGTAAGTAAATAAATAAAATCTAAAGAGCACTGACCACCATGTAAACAACATTACAGTTGGCCCTCTGTATCCATGGACTTTCCACCCGTGGATCCAAATGCCCTTGGAAGGCAACCATCTAGGTAGCCCTAGATGAAAATGAGTTTGACACCTCTGCTCTATGACAACACATTCCACTGTTAAACAACTCTTACCATCAGGAAATTCTTCATAATGTTCAGTGCAATCTCTTATCTTGCAATCTGAATCCATTGCTCTATGTCGTGGTCTCTAGAGCAGCAGAAC